ATTGTTGTCATTTAATACATAAATGGTTTCGGGAAAACACTTCAACATGATTGCAGAAACAAATAAATCATTTTTCAAACAAATTTAATTTTGACCTATAAATATAAACAATTGTTGAAACTAATCAATATAATTTATTGGATTTTACAACTCTAATAATTTAGTTAACCGGATAATATGGACGGAGTTATATGATGGAACGAGAACGGAACGGTATACCACGGGTGAAATCCTAGAATTAACAATCTACATATACATTATAAATATTTATAAAAGATATTAATACGGGACGGTTGAAAATCTAGATATAACAATCAAAATACAATTATGAAGTTTGGATCTATTTTTACTAAAATGAAATTAAAATTTACTAATTCTACCATTTATACAACTCTCAATATCAATATATACATTTAAATTAATAAAAAAATTCATATATGTCAAATAAAATATTTAAATTAATAATTAAAAAAAAAATCAAATAATATTTAGGCCCGCGGTGTACCGCGGGTTAACATCTAGTTAAATACATAAGATAGTTTTCTATTTAAATTGTTTGTGATATTTTAATATTTTCGATGTGAAAGTTTTCTTTTCAACTTTACTCTAATATTCTCCCATGTGTCCGAATGTTTGACACTGTCCACAAAGTCTCATAATACCTTTAACTTTACATGAAAAAATTCTTATGTAATTCGTTTGGTAATTCTAAAAACCTTTTTTTTAATGAAGTTATGTTATGACGGAAAGGATAAAATCAAACGTAGTTTATAACGTGAACAACATCGTGAGAGGGCCGGCGAGTATGGCTCCCCAAAAATCACGAGCCTTATTAGAGAGCGGTGAAAATAGTAACATAAAAAGAGAATCAGAGTCTAGAGAGGCTCAGGTGGGAATTTAAAGGGAACTACAACAACAAGAATCATCACTTGTCGACTACTTCAATTAGACTTGGCTCATAGTCGTTCGGGGCCACAAATCCATGGAGGTTCATCACTGTCGCAGCTACATTCGCAAGCCCAGGTGTCTCGATATCCTGTCTGAACCTAACTCCTGCTGACAAGCCAGGACCTCCTATGGCAATTGGCACCTGCACACACACATCATTTCCAAATTTCACATAAGACACACTAACCACTTCTGGTAGTAAACCCTCTAATGCTTAATCTATGCTCAGTTGCAATGGTCATAACACACTGTTTTAGTATTGCTAGAACTTACTGGTTTAAGGGTGTGAGAGGTAAGAATCTGAAGGTTCCCTTCCTTATCGAGAGCGGGCTTGCCAGATTTGTCCCTTTTAACCATGTCCTCGGCATTTCCGTGATCTGCAGTCACAACGTATATCCCTCCGACCTGTTCTATGGCATCAAGGATTGTCTGCAAACCAGGCACCAAAACTAAGTGAGTCATTGCTACTAAGAACGGTTTCTAACATCCCCATATCACAAATTTAATTGAAACCATACCCTCACAGCACGATCAGCAGCTTCACAGGCAACAACAGTTGCTTCAATATCACCAGTATGACCCACCATATCTCCATTTGGCAGGTTCACACGCACCTGATCCATTCACACCAAACTCAGAAGCCAATTGTTTTAATGGGTTGATACAATGTGATAAGAGAATACACCTTACCTGGTCAAACTTGCCACTAAGGATAGCATCCCTTGCCTTCTCGGCAATTTCCAGAGCTTTCATCTTTGGCTGGACATTGAATGATATTCCACTATCACTTGGAATCTCAACATACTCTTCTAACTTTTCATTGAAATATCCAGAGCGGTTGCCATTCCAAAAGAAGGTTACATGGCCAAACTTCACAGTCTCACTGTTTCAGTGAAATAAATTTTGCATGGGTCAATAGCTGTATAATCTCATCAAAAAAAAGTGAGCTAGGACATTTCACCAGTTTTAATCAGCAAACAAACCACAAGCATACAATTGACCTCTAACGAGCAAGTAAAGAAGACTGGATTACTTCTATGACAATTTCATGTCTAATTCCAATTCCAGTATAAACCAGAAAACGGCAATAGAAGAAAATACACAAATGGCAACGAGAGAATTGAGAGATTCTAAAAGTTAACCTGCAAGCAAAAGTACGAACGCCATTGTGTGCCAGATATTCACCAGAAGTTCTATCAATCAATGGTGGGGAAACAAGATAGCGGCTAGGAAGCTTAAGCTCTCCATCATATTGGAGCATTCCTGCATAACGTATCTTAGGGACTCGTACGCGATCAAACTTATCGAAATCTTCATATTCAAGGGCCTTTGCATGCATGACCATTCGATCAGCACGGAAATTGAAAGTAACAACTGCGTCACCATCAACAATTGGACCCACAGCCTTTCCACTATCATCAACAATAACAAACGGAGGCAAGTACTGGTCATTGGCACCAGGTTCGGCCCTCAGTGTCTTAACTGCTTCAAGAGCACTTTTGAATTTGTGGGGAGCTTCTCCAAGGACTTGTGCATCCCAACCTCGTTTAACAACACTCCAATCATTCTGCAAGGAAGGAAATCATAATTCCATTAAAGCAGAAATCCAAAGCAAAGCCTAATAATCAATGTCTCAACTAGACAAGGCAAGACATTCATACAAGATCTCACAAGCATTCCCTACCTCATAACGGTCCATTGTGACATACATACGACCTCCACCAGATGCAACCTGAGCATCAACACCTTTCGAACGTAAATCAGCGAGGTCAGCTTCAAGAGTTTCCACAAATCCAACACTAGAACCATCCAAAACATCACGACCATCAGTAAGAATATGGACGCGGATTCTCTTAGCACCGCGTTCTGCAAAACCCTTAAGCAGCAACTGCACCAAACAGATCCAAATTCAAGAAAATTAACAAACGCCAACGTTTCAAGAGAAAGTGTAAAGAGACGAAAATTGGGTACCTGCACTTGATCAAGACGAGAGTGAACTCCACCATCACTTAGAAGACCAATAAGGTGCACAGTGCCTTTCTCAAAAGATTGAGAGATGTATTTGAAGCCTTCATCTTCATAGATTTTCCCAGAAGCAAGAGCGAGATCAACAAGCTTAGCACCTTGAGCGTAAATTCGACCAGCTCCGAGAGCATTGTGGCCAACTTCACTGTTTCCCATGTCGTCTTCGCTGGGCAGGCCAACGGCAGTACCGTGGGCTTTGATCAGCCTCCATGTGTCGGGTCTTCCCTGTGAAGAATCAAATCAAACCGTTGAAACCCATAATCAGAATCTAGCCAAATCATCTAGAAAATATGTGGAAACAAAAAAAAAGGAAAAAAAAGGAAACATACGTTTTTAAGGGAATCCATGGCAGGAGTGGGAGCTTTATGGATGCAATTGTACTGATCAGGATCAGATTCACCCCATCCATCGAGAACGATTAAACCGATGGTTTTGCCTTTGGGAAGCTTGGGGTGGTCCGCAAGTTTCCAGTTAACGTCGCCGGAGCTACCCATAACTGTGGAATCAGATCCACTCGTCGGTGAGAAATCGAAGGTTTGAGGGAACAGATCTGAGAAGCGAGAGAGAGAAAACAGGAAGCTTACCAGCGGAGAAACAGAGGAAAGCTTGTCAAAGAGTCGTATGGAGATTCGCAGAGACGAAGCGGGTGATGTGGTGAGGTATGGTGGGCAGGTTGAGTTATCACTGACATAATATGAGATTTTTATAGAAATAAAAAAGTTAGCGATGACGTGGTTCCATTTTAATGGGCTTTACTTTGGGCTCAAGTAAACATTGTAAAGCCCCAAAAAAAATGGAAGGGGACGAATGTTCTAGTTTTAGCTGCTATGTTACGAATGTTCTGGATCATGCGGTTTGTAATAGTCGTACTGTGCTGGCTCATGGCGTTGTAGAAAATGGTATAAAGAAAAAGTCAAACCAGAGTTAACTTCATTGTTTAAACGGAAATTGAACCCAAAATTTGATCAAAAATTGGTAAGTTTTATCAACTGGGTTACCGGAAAACCGAAAAGGATTTTAGTATATTTAATCCAAAATGTATTATTAGTTTTTGCTTCAATATAGGATCAGTTTCGGTGTAAGCTCGGATTCTGTAACGCTTATAGAAATTCACAATGTACTTGTTCCATTCATCTCTTAAAACCAGATATGTCTTCCATTGTTTAACTTTAGGTTTCTCATTCAAGAAACGATCAATAATCTTTTTTTTTTTTTTTTTTTGGTACAAGGTGGCTCAGTTCTGTGACAAGATTATTGATCTGATCTTTACGACCTTACTTGAATAAGATCAATAATCTTGTCACAGAACTGAGCCATAGTGTAACCTTCAGCAACCTCAACTTCCATAAGATCCTCAACAAAGCTTTTTACTTCCTACCCTAAACACAACAATTCTATCTTCAATCAAAAAAGCTTCCGTAATTAGACAAAATCGTAGTCTATGAAAAGGGTTTAGCTTTCTCTACAAAAACCCTTATCTAATGGCGACTGATAATTCAAATTGGAATCTAAAGGAAAGAACTTTCTTGGTAATTAAACAGAAAGGTGAGAGATTTAGGGTTTATGAGCTTACTGGTAGTGCCACTGTAAGTGACAGTGTCGGTAGCAAAGGTGATAGTTGAGCTTTTGCGTATCTTTCTTCCTCCATTGATGAAAGCAGAGAAAAGGGGAAGATGGGTTTGGGAATTATTAGGCGGAAAGGAAGGTTACTTATCAGACGAAGAGAAGAAGATTGATGTTTCCAGCAAATTGGCCATTTTTCTCCCTCTCTTTGAAGAAGTTTTGTTCGTCTTGGTGACGAAACAACGAGAAACACCAGTGGATAAGAAGAACATGGTTATATTTGTAAAAATAATAAGGAAATGTTGACAAATTGCTAAAAACGAACAAGTTTTGCATCATTTTGAGTTTACTAACTTTACTTTGAAGGACACAGTCATATTCGCATGATCTTTAGACCTTACATTAACACGAAGAGACAACTATACTTAGATTGATTATTACAAAAACAATATACATATGTTACTTTGTGATAGAAGAAATTTAAAAAGTATGTATTTAGATATCTCCATTACATGATTATTAATAGAGTTGTTTCACTATGCGTCCTCTTGAGGCTGACCATCTCCACCACCTTCAATGTTACTGGTATTGAATTGAACACGAGGCTTTCCCATACTGAAATTAAGAACTCTTGCATCCATATTGTATTGTATTTCTCCATCAAATAACATCTTCCTTATGTAATGTACTCTACATCCGACCCTATCAATCTTAATGTGTACTCCGTTAATGGTGCTCCCTGTCACAAAAACAATATTATAATAAGGTCTTCTTGAGTGAGTCTAAGTTTTAGATGAATTTTTTGTTTGTTTATCGTTATCATTTACCTCGTAGTGATCGACGAGTTCTTGGAAATAAGAATAGACCTTGTTACAGCTTTCATCATCCCACACAAATTCTTCAGTAGGGTCAAGAATCAAAGTGAGTTTATCCATTTGTGACTGGTCAAACTCACAAGTCTCGGGGTCGATATAAGCAGCGTAGATCCTAACGTGACGTGTGACACTGCTTAGCCACTGATCACCAAACTGGCCCATACCCTTGCTCTTCACGTTTAGTTGTCTCTCCACTGGTCTCAATGGTGTTGGCTGCTTCTTCATCTTCTCTGTTGATTGCTCTTCTTTGATTGGCTCTGTTTCTTGTACCTCCAGAGTACTGTCTTGGTCAGGATTTGTCACCTAGAGATTTCATTAAGTCAAACTGAAACTACACGAATGGTTTTATTTGGTTTAATTTTGGTAAAACAGATAAAAGTGAGAAAAAAAACTATATGAAACCAAACCGTAGAAACATGTAAGACTTTCAGGGTTGTGTACATTTCTTCAGTATCATCATACTATTAAATTATTAACTGCCTTCACGAGGTTGGTAAAAGGCTAGAAAACACAATTTTTAATGGGCCAAAAACAAAAAGTTGAGTCCAAATACATTGGGCTTACAAAGCCTGAAACTAGATGAGACGTGGACAAAGTAGATAAATGGGCCAAGAAGGATAAGGAAAAAGATAAAAACAAAAGTAGAATCATAGAGTATATGGAAATATACAATAACAATAAGGGGTAGACGGACAACTGTTACGGCGAAATTGAATGCCGCAATGTATCAATATGATTGGTCCAAAAGGAAAGTAAAAAACAAATTATAATTAAATTTTAATGTGTAAAGGAGAAAAAATCAGATGAACAGGCTGTATAATTTTTTTTTGTGAACAACAAATGGGACTGACGACAACACTCTTCTTCCCCTTTTTGTCCTTTTGGCTCTCTCTCTCTCTTTTCCACCGGCGACCATTCATTCTCTCTCTTCCTCCTCCGCCTTCCTCCATTGCTCCTCATTCCTCGATTTGTTCTTCTCTACACCACCAATTCCCATTTTTACCCTTTTTGAACTCTTCTTCACACACTCAGACGTGACGGCGACTTTTTATTACTGAGTCTCACATCTTTGACTCGCCCTGGGGGATTTTTTTGCTCCAGAGGCGACAGAAAAAAAAAAAACAACAATGGGGTTTCTCCGTTGTCTCCAGTTGCTGCTTCTGTTTCTATCTCTTCGTCTACAAAAGCTCTCTGCTCAATCTCTACCCAATGCTTCTTCTTCTTCTTCTCCTCTCGATGCTCTTCTTCAAGATTACTCTTTTAGAGCCTTTGTTCGTCCTCGTACCGGCATTCTCTACGAAGCTTCTACTGTTCCTTCCAATTTGACTGGGATCAAACTCGCTGCCATGAGACTCAGAAGCGGAAGCTTTAGAAGACGTGGAGTTACTCCTTTTAAAGAGTTCTCAATTCCCAGCGGCGTTATCGTCAAGCCGTATGTGACAAGGCTTGTATTGGTTTATCAAAACCTAGCTAATTTCTCTCACTTGTATTACCCTTTGTCTGGTTATGATTATGTCGCTCCTGTGTTGGGTCTTCTCGCTTACGATGCTAAGAATCTCTCTGCGGTTAATTTGCCTCAGCTTGATTTGAGGGTGTCTAATGATCCTATCAGAATCGATTTCTCTGATCTGGAACGAATCCCGCAAGGGTCTAGTGCTAAGTGTGTTAGATTTGATTCTAAAGGTGAAGCGAGTTTCAGCGAATCGATTCAGCCTGGAAACACATGCGAGACTGAGCATCAGGGACATTTCTCAGTTGTGGTGAAATCTGTAGCCTCTGCTCCGAGTCCAGCTCCTCCAGGGGATAGGAAGGAGAAGAAGAAGAAGAGCTCTGAATCCAATTCCAAGACTTGGATCATTGTTGGGTCGGTGGTAGGTGGATTGATACTGTTGGGGCTTTTACTGTTTCTGGTTTTGAGATGTCGGAATTATAAGAAGCAAGAGAAATTGAGGGAGATGGAGAGAGCTGGAGAGACAGGGGAAGCTCTGAGAATGACTCAGGTCGGAGAAACTAGAGCACCAACTGCTACTACGACTCGTACACAACCAATGCTTGAAACCGAATACGCAGCTTAGGACACTTTGTGTACATCATCATCATCATCATCATCACATCTTCTTGATCATCTGTTACTTCTTCTTCTTCTTTTTTTCTTCAATTATTCTTCTTTTGGTAAAGTGTTTTTTTTTTTTTCTGATTATTTTTTCGTTGTGGTTAGCAAGTTGATACTTCCACATTCATCTTGTTTCTCTGCTGGTGATAAGGAAATAAGTAATATTATTTTCTTGTTGTGCTCTCAAATCACAAACTTTGGTGGTCTCTCCATGGAAATGAAAAGAGTTGGATTGTTTCTGGAGTGCACTCACTTTGTTTTCTTCTAACTACTTTTGCTGTAAAGCTTTGCTCTTTTTTTGTAATAATTTCAACATCTTTTGTCTGGAAAGCAGACAGTTGAAGAAGATTAAAATCATCCATACTCAACTTTGTTACTTTGAGCTTAGCATTTTTCAAAAGGTACTAGTATGTGTTCTTGAGATTCAAGTGCTACTCTAGTTTTAACATTTGTTGTAGCTATATATGCTTCATGCAACTTGTTGACCCTAAAATACATCTTTAGATTAGAAGATCGCCGATGAAGCAATTGATTTTGGAACCAAAGAGGTAAGACATCAAAAAGGATTGATTGTATATGTAGAATTTAGTTTTTCTGTCTTTCTGTTGAAGAAGGTTTGCAATGTTACAGCGTTTATGTTTACATCTAGGATTGTCTTGTTTGCTTACTTTATACGAAAAGTCAGCTCGTTCATATGGATTTTGCATTTCACATTTTAGAAAAGCACCGGTTGCCACTTCAGGTATGTAACAATGTGCACAGCTACAAATCTTTGCTCTGAACAAATTGGGATAAAAGTTGACTAGTTTAGCTTGGCTTGGACCTTCTTGTGGCCTCTTGCTCATATCAAGTAAAATGCCATGACAACAACGTTAATGGCTAAGTTAGCATTGCAGTATCTTCTCTGACTTCTGCAGATACCAGAAGATTTTCTGTCTCATCATTCCAAAATCTTAAGGTCGGTGTTTGGAAAAGTAGATGAAGTGAACTGTATAAATGCGGTATTAAATTGTGTTTTAAGGACACCCAAATAAATAATTGCCAGTTTTTGCCAAAAGGAAACTACAGTTGTAGAATATTCGTCTCTTTTCTTCTTTTTTCCGTTATCTGTTCTATGAGAAAGCTAAAGAACTATACATCAAAGTCAGGTCTCAACGGTAAAATAAAAACAAGCTTCTTTTTCACTAAAGAGTAAAAGAGATTCCTCTCAGGATTGGTCTTTCATATTTTTCCTTGCTGTATGTAAAAATATAATAAGAACCGGTTAAGTATATGAAAGAAAGAAAAAAAGATTTGATTATCCATTTTATCATAACATAAGCTTGTTTGTGAACACATGAAAACTAAAGGAAAGAACAACTCCAATCTCTGCCGTGAGGAGTTGTAATTTTTGGCAGAAGCTGGTGTCGTTTTGACGAGAAATTGGAAGTGAATCTATGTAGTCGTGTTGGTTGGTAAGATCGATTTAGTTACATTAAATAAAAAATTCCTTCGAGCAATAACGAATAAAAAAAGATAGGTTTCGTCACAAGGTGGACCATTTCGAAGAAGAATTAAGAGATGAGCCCACTTGAAAGAGACAGAGCAAGGGGACCCCATGTGAATCTGCAAGCAGAGACAGAGGCTTTGACCGTTCTCATTCATCCTCCATTATTAACCAGAGTCATAAACCATGTGATTCATCATCACAAGGCTTCATTGGACTCTCATGCATCTTCACAATCTCCCCTTCATCTTATACAATTTTAGTTCCTACCCGCAACAAATCCAACACCTGAAGCTGATAATGCTTTTGAAAGTATAACTAGGAATGAAAAGTACTAGGATGAGCCATCTTTCCAGATATTCATTTATTCACTCACACAGCAAGAGAGTAGTTCAGTGTATAATGCAACTTAAAAGCATACAAATTATCACATATAGAGAAATGTAGATAAACCAAATGTCATTACGGTCTGATTTCTGAAAGCTTTAATATGTCCAAGGAAAATCAAATGGGAATAAAAGTACTAGATCCCCCAGCTTCTTCTTCTTCTGGAATGCACTTTATTTGTCACCACAAGTCTTCACCTTAAGCCCCTACATCACATCAACATGTTACTCTCAGACTTAACATCCTAGCCAGAGGAGAAAAAGAGAAAGCATTGGGAGCAAAGAAGAAAGAACATCATTGCCCTAGAGCTTCACACACGACAAAGAAATAAGAACAGCTCCAAAAATTCATACACTAAACCAACCATGACCAGGATCTCAATCATTCCTAGACAGGGCAAAAACAAAAACCCACCATCCAGAAGCTTCAAGTGGCAAAAAAAACAAGCAGAAGTGCCTAGGATAATTTAGCAAGTTCCCTAGACGGACTTTTCTACAGAGAATAGCAACCAAACAGGAGGCCTGAAGCCTCAAGCTGACAAGAGTAACAAATTGTTTCTTAATACTACTGATACACTAGCTATATCCACAGTACCTCTCTTATTAAAGCGTATCCATTTTCAAGAACCAAAAACACTTATGATCACACATTTTAAACCTTTACTGGCACACTAATTAGCTTATGAAACAACAAAACTGGTGTAATGATTTGCCTATGAAATTCAACTCGTGGGAGCAAAAAGTCTTTAGGGTTTTTCTAATGAAAGAACAAACAGTATCATCGCTATCCAAGAGGGCTAAACTCATAAAGAGCTCAGAGAAAGCGGATCAAATAATATAAGGAGAGAATGAACACAGACCTGAGGAACACAAAAGAGATAAAGCGGATCATGACGAAGGAGCTCCAGCTTTCTCGACGACTTTCTTGTCGCGTCTTTCCATAGCAACATCCCATTCATCGTGGCCGATGTGCTTCGGCTGCTCAATCCAAAATCCAAATCAAAATCATCAACCAAATCGGATCAAATCGAGAAAACCCTAGAAAGAAAAGGGGGGGAAATTCATACACGGCCATGATAAGCTTTGTGGATGTAGTACTGAGAATTCCCCATGATACAGAGCATCCCACCGATGATTCCGAGAGGCAACATCGCTTCCAACCAGACCAACGACATCTTCGTCTTCTCCTTCCTTTCGATTGTGCTTCTCCTCTGTGTTAAGATCCGAGTTAAAGATTGAGATTAGAGACCACAACTACTCAATTGAATGATAATGGGCTTTTGGGCTTTTTCCTTTAATGAAACGTAAATCTCAAAGCCCAATATATCCAAATGAAACATTTTTGACTTTTTCATGGATAGGAAGGAAACATGGTCACGGACAGTGGTAATATAACTCGATTAACCTACTTGGTAGTAGTGTTAGGACACCAAGTTAGTACACGTAAAATGTAAATGCGGTTGGTTTGCTTCTACAGCTTTCCCTCGTAACAACATTTTATCTTCCAACAATCTGAAGGTGGCTGACGAAGGCAGTAATGTATCCACTTGGAAGTAATGTTTGTTTATAGAAGATCTTAAACACGATCGATTAAAAGGCGACTAAATTGAGTATGAGATGAAACATGTCAAACTAAGTAAGCAACTAGAATCTACGGATATTTAAGACACAATATACAAAAAGAAATTAGTAAATATATAAAAAAATCTACACACAGTTATATCTGACTGACACGCTATAAATTAAAATCTCTGTTTATTGATGATATATTTTCTTGTTTGACACGTTTTGTAGATACCGAACATTACATTTATATTTAGTATGGTAAAGTAACACTGCAGACCGGAAGTTATGGCCATAAAACCGCCAAAAAAACAGAAAAAAGTAGGGTTTTGGTTGCAAAGAAAAAAACTTCAGGGTTAGATTAAAAACAAAAGTAATTAAAAAAGGGGTAAAAAGGTTAAATGATAGTCTCATATTCACAATAGCATACTAGCATCAGGCCCGGCTTACATAGGTAGGGCGGAGGTGCGACCGCCACCTGCCCAAGAAATAAAAGGCCCAATATTTTTTAGTTTTCAAGCCTTTTACGTTTAAGTTTAAGTTTTTTTTTTTTTTTTTTTTTTGCAGAAAATATTAATTAGAAGATGAAAATGGCCTTTTTACTTTACTCATCTCTCTCCTCTAACCCTAACGGTCATAAGAAAAATCCTGAATCTGTGTTTTTTTTTGCTTTCTCAATAGACTCTTAACTTCAAAAAAAGAACCAGAATTGAAGCTCAATCATCTTGTGGCTGCAACTGTAACAAACGTGTGTCTAATTGTAACTTCGTAAATTGTAAGTTTTGGATGATTTGCAATTTTATAATTCAGAATTTCAGATTTTCTGTTTTATTTTGTATTAGCTAGTGGGTGTCTTCGATTTATGAACAAAAATTCAGTTCAAAATTGATATAAGAAACCTTGTGTATAATAGATAATTATTTTGTCTTTGTTTGATTTTTGTTTAAAACAAGCAAAAAGAACACACGTTGACTAGATCTAAATTTTGTCTTTCTTCTAGTACTTAGTATATATTTTAATCGTTTTTTATGAATTGTTTATTGTTCTAGGTGCTTCCACTTGGTTTTTGGCGACAACAATCCTTGTTAATTGTAAATTGCCACCGCTCACTGCCTCGCCTTTGTTAATCCAGGTGCTATCTTTTAATAAAATACTTTTGATCATGGTTTTGTGTGGAAATGACAAACTAAAGAAAAGAAAAAGAGATGAATTGTTTATTCAATCTCAAAGAGGGGCTATGGATAAATTTATTAAAAAACTAGGTGATAATGCTACCGTTTCTCAACAAACTGAAAACGTGAATGATTTAAATGATGGTTCCAATAATAATGTTCCAAATGCATTTGAAAGTTTGAATGTTCATGAGCAAGAAACTTTTTCCTTGAGTATCGATAATGATCCTAATAGATTGAGTGAGCATGATAATGTGTCAAATGCATCTTTACTTGAAAGTTTGAATGGTCATGAACAACAAAGATTTCATTTTGATACTTTTGATCCTAGATATTGGGAAAATCTTGATAATAAAACGAGAGATGAGTTAGTTGCGTGTGGACCTATATGAATCATGTGATGATGCCATAACAAAAAGTGAAACGGAAAGTTTAGTAAATTCACTTGAGAATTATGAGTTTTTACTTGGTATGACTATTTGGTATGAAATTTTGTTTGTCATGAACACGGTAAGCAAGAGCTTACAATCCAAATCGATATGCATTGATAGTGCTATAAAACAATTAGAAGGTATAATCTTATATTTTGAAAAGTATCGAGATGAAGGGTTTAGTTCTTGTTTGAAAGTAGCTCAAGGTCTTGCTCATGATATGAATGTTGATCCTATATTTCCAAGTAGGCGTCGTGTCTTTAGAAAAAAACACTTTGATGAGAATGATCATGATGAAGAAGCATTATCGGTCGAAGATGATTTTAGAGTCAATTATTTTCTTGTTGTTGTGGATATGGCAATTTCTTCGGTAAAGAATAGATTTGAACAAATGATGACTTTTAAAAGTGTATTTGGATTTTTGTTTGATTCATTGAAATTAAAATCACTTGATGAAAGTGAATTAAAAGAGCATTGCATTAATTTTCACAAAACATTTTCTCATGATAATGTCTCGGATGTTGATTTTAATGATTTTTTTTCAGAATTAAAAGTTTTGCAAATGTGTTTATCCCAAGTGTCAATGACACCTAGTGAAGTGCTTGAGTTTGTAGAAAATGTAGGTTGTTATCCGAATGTTTCAATTGCTTATCGAATCCTATTAACAACACCCGTGACGGTAGCTTCGGCCGAGAGAAGCTTCTCAAAATTGAAGTTATTAAAAAATTATATGAGGTCCTCTATGTCTTAACAAAGGTTGAATGGTCTAGCTATTCTATGCATTGAAAAAAGTTTGTTAGAAAGCATAGACTTTGAAACTGTCATTCATGAGTTTGCGTCGACTAGAGCTCGTCAAAATCGTTTCTTTATTCCGAAATAACTATTGTGTTTTGTTTTGTTGTTTTAGATCCAACGGAAGAAGGATGCATGAGATATGATGCAATATAAAGGAATGTGGTAGATGAAGACATGGAGCTTAAGACATGATTATATGAAATGGTTTTTGTTTTTAGCATGCTTGAAAAGGCCCTTTTTGTAAGTCGCCCTAAGGCTTCTCGATTGTTAGAGCCGGGGCTGACTAGCATTCTACTAAAGACTTTAACTGATAAGATAAAATGATACAGTAACTGATAAGATAGAATGACAATGATGGTTAAGTTAATAATTCACAAAAGTTGTTTTGACAAAATCCGACGATAGTCTTCGGTAAGTTTCTCTTTTTATGTTCATTTTGTTTCCTGTTCTCTTATTTATATACACACAAGAAAAAACCCTCCTTTAGTCGAATGCTGCTGTGACGACTCTGTTTAGTTGTTCCTTTTCTTCCTCGGCAACAACAACACCCTTCCTTCTCCTCACTCCCTATCCGCCAAAATCTCTTCTTCTTCTTTTTTTTTTTTTTCCTTTTCATATCTGATAGCTGCAAAACACAAACCACCATGTCTGGTCTGTATAATTATAACTTCTCACCTTCTCGAGCCGCTTCTCCCCAGATTAGAACCACTTCCTCCGATGTTGACAGGTGTTTCTCTTTCGACTTCTCTTCTCTCTCTCTCTCGTATTGCTTCTTTGGTGAAATCTCTTATCTCTTTGTTTTTCGCTCGTCTTCTGCAGTCAATACTTATCTCAATTGTTAGCAGAGCATCAAAAGCTTGGACCTTTCATGCAAGTCTTACCTATATGTAGCCGACTTTTAAATCAAGGTCTCACTCTTCTCATTTCTTCCTTCTTAGATCTGGATTTTTTTGTTTCCTGTTTATTTATCTTGATTATGCAGCATTTCTCTCTTTGATTACTTGTCCTAATACTCCTTGTCTGAATCACATAATTGGATCTTTGCTCATATTAGTCATATTTAATCTCACACTACTTTATTAGCTCTTGATTGTTCATGCTCTTGATGCTTTCGAGTCTTGTTAGCTCAGTTAATGAAGATTGGTTGGGTTTTTTTTGTGGCTTTGCTTTAATAGCTTATATTGTTTTGGTGGTAAAGCTTCCAGATTTGTTAACTAGATTCAAGTGTTATGTAAAAGTTAAAGATCAAATTTAAGAACCATGGCTGAATATGTATTTCAAGAAAATCAAGCTGACTGCTACATAGATACAGTCCCAGTTGATCATATGATCTCTGTTTAATACTTTAATTAATTTTCTAAATGCTGAAGTATATGTTCTTCTGTCTTTCTGACTCTTTATTGATTGGTTTCATGAAAATCTCTCCTTTGTTTTCTTTTTGTTGTGCAGAAATTTTTCGGATCACCGGAATGTTGCCAAACCAAGGGTTTACCGATTTTGATAGGTTGCGGCATCGAAGTCCTAGTCCAATGGCTTCACCAAATCTAATGTCTAATGCTCCCGGTGCTGGATTAGGTGGTTGGAATGGTCTTCCACCAGAGGTAGCCATTTTTCTTCCTAATTATCTTACAAACTGTGTTTTGTTAGAACTTTTCTTTATGTGTTTGTTGAAGAAGCTTCCTTTTCATCCCCGATTATCTTAATAGAACATAGAAAGTTTCTTAACAGAATATTGTGGTTGAAACCCACTTGCAACATGAAATATGTATGGATGGCTCATGTATTCTTTTATTGGAGCAGCCTAATATTCCTACTGCAAGGAATATAAGGTATGAGTTAGCTCTCCATCTCCTTCTTTGAATATGTGGTGCCATCTGTAGCCTATAGATAGTGGCACGTTCAAGAGTTAGAAGTTACGGTCTTTGTATGCCCGATACGTAATAGTTAGTCTCGACTGTCTAGGTTATTCTTCATAGAAAATCCCTCTGGAGCTCCAACTTGAACCTTTTTTTATCTCTTGTAGAGAGACCCTGTAAACCCTTAATCTATAGATGATGTTTCAATTCCATTTACTCATTTCAGAAGTTCAGAACTGTAATAAAATTGTAACCTTTTTTATTCTTGTAGAGAATAGGTGGTCCTCATGGAATGGCAATGGAGTGGCAAGGTGCGCCTGCTAGCCCAAGTTCATACCCAGTGAAGCGTATCTTGCGTTTAGATCTTCCAGTTGATACCTATCCGGATGTAAGTTTCGTTGTATTGTTTTCTTTGAGACAATGAAATTCAAGTGAATTAACCATTCTTCTGCTTTTGGTTGTTAGTTCAATTTTGTTGGAAGGCTTCTGGGTCCTAGAGGGAATTCGTTGAAGCGTGTGGAAGCAACTACGGGTTGCCGTGTGTATATTAGAGGGAAAGGATCAATTAAGGATCCTGACAAAGTAAGGCATACCTACATTTTATTCTGTTTCCCAACCATCTTTTTACTAAAGTTTGTTCATATTTGCTTTGATATGTTTGTTGCTAGGAAGAGAAACTGAAAGGGAAGCCTGGCTATGAGCATCTCAATGAGCAGCTGCATATCCTCATTGAGGCTGATCTTCCAATTGATATTGTGGATATAAAGCTGCGGCAGGCCCAAGAAATTATTGAGGAGTTGGTCAAGCCCGTGGTGCGTGTTTTTAACATACTTCTTCTCATTTGATTTCTGAGAGCCACATTGCTTTGAAGTTTGGCAACAAGTTCATCAATGCTTTCTTTTTGTAAATGCATGTTTTAAGTCTTAGTTAGGCAAGGTGGGAGTTCCGTAGTATAGGAGTCTCAGTTTTGGGTTAGTCTGTAGTAACAAGGCAGCTGGTGGTTGGTGCTTTAGTGGTAACAGACCTTAGGCCAGTTGGTTGAGAGCTGAAGGTTTCAAAGGAGAACGAGGAGAATTCATTTGGGAATTCTGGATTGGTTTAGGATCTTGGTTTGGGCATTGGTCGAGAGTCAAGAGACTTTTCTCCTGAACTATCAGATAACTTAATGTTGTTACCCACATAATCAGCTTTGTATTCTTTTTCGCAGGATGAGTCACATGATTACATCAAGAGGCAGCAGTTGCGAGAGCTCGCGTTACTGAATTCAAACTTGAGAGAAAACAGTCCAGGGCCGAGCGGTAGTGTCTCTCCTTTCAATTCAAATGCAATGAAACGGCCAAAAACAGGGCGCTAAGAGCATGAGAGATCCTAGATAAAAAAAATATATATATATGTGTATATGTGTATAACTGGCCTAGTGGTGTTGGTTGCGTCTGCTCTTGGTTCTTCTGCTTACCCTCTGATCCACACACTGATGCCTAAACACAGCACCAAGAGAAGCCCAACAGTTTCTCATGTTTTCCTCCTTAACAGGGGGTTGATACATTTGTAAACCATTAAAGATAGATAATTTGGATTTATTCATGTGTTGAAGTAGTTGTATTCTTGACTTTGGATTGAAGATCTAGTTACGTGTATATGGGGATAGATACACCAATGGAGTTTATGATTTTGCTTCCGTTGACATCATAATTTCACAAGCAAAAACTAAATTGTAATTTTCCGGTTTTAGGCAGCAAATTGTGTTATGAAATATGGGCCGAGGTGGTTGGTGAAGTGGTTGACTGTGGTGACACGTGGGGCTCAGACACAGCTTTAGGTTTCACAGGTGGGAAATGGGCCCGATCGATTTTTTATTGTTGTTTTGTAAGAAAACCAAAAAAGGGTTCCTTTTTAAATTTGGACGAGGTTCCCAACTTTTCACCAGTGGCTCTGTGATTGATTCCATTTCCGTCTAAAATATCTCAGATCTCAGATTTCAGATCTCTCACTCATCACAGATCATAGGGTACGAAGATGGCGGCTATGGCGGCGAAGCTTCATTTATCGGCGAAATCAGATCAGAGCAATGTGCGATTGCCGAGAGTGATCAACCTCTCCCGCTATCCAACCACTAGAGTCTCGTTTCCACGAAATGATTCTGTTTCTTCACTCCACACTAACTTCTCTTCTACACATCTCGGGGTTCCATGCGCCGGAGGTGGTGATGGTGGTGGAAGCATCGGTAATCACGGCGGTGGAAGTGGAAGCGGAGGAGGTGGTTATGGAGGTTCAGAAGAAGAAGGATCGTCTTCATGGGGACCAATAGGAATATTCATACAAGGATGGCGATCACGAGTTGCAGCAGATCCTCAGTTCCCTTTCAAGGTACTAATGGAAGAGCTTGTTGGCGTTAGCGCCAATGTACTTGGCGACATGGCTTCACGCCCTAATTTCGGATTGAACGAGCTAGATTTCGTCTTCTCCACTCTTGTTGTAGGTTCGATTCTCAATTTCACACTCATGTACCTCTTAGCTCCCTCTGCAGTATCTCATGGATCCTCCAATTTATTGCCTGGAATCTTTAGAAGCTGTCCGTCGAGCCATATGTTTGAACAGGGTAGCTTCACTATTATGAACCGTTTTGGGACTCTTGTGTACAAAGGAATGGTTTTTGCGACCGTGGGGTTGGCTGCAGGTCTTGTTGGAACCGCTATCTCGAACGGGTTGATCATGCTGAGAAAGAAGATGGATCCGAGCTTCGAAACGCCGAACAAACCACCACCTACGCTGCTGAATTCTTTAACTTGGGCTACACATATGGGAGTGAGCGCCAATGTGAGGTACCAAACGTTGAATGGGGCTGAGTTCTTGCTGGAAAAGTCGTTGCCGCCATTGGTGTTTAAGACAAGTGTGATAGTTTTGAGGGTTGTGAACAATGTTTTGGGAGGAATGTCGTTTGTTATATTGGCGAGGATGACTGGATCACAGTCGGTGGAGGAGGAGAAGAAGATAGAGATGTCAGAGATATCAGAGAAGGAGAAAGAGGATTGAATATCTTATAGAGTTTTTTTTGTTCTTATGTTGTTTTTGTTGTTCATAGGTAGAAGGCACAAGAGGCATCACTTCTTGAGTTGAAACCTTTTACACGTTCTTACAAAAGCAAAAGACATTTGTTCTGGTGTGTGTCCCATCCTAATACTTCTATGCCATTGGTAGGGACAAGTTTGTTGTTTTCTGTATCAACATAACCAACAAGATAAATTCAATAATTATTAATCACAAATGAAGATTGAATGATTTTATGTATCGGGCATGTAAACTTTATTCTGACAAGAGATCTATCTAAAACTCCCAAAGCAACTAGGAGTCGAACATAGTAACAAAGAAGAAATTTAAAAGCAACGGAAGAAGAAGTAATCAGAACATCCCATGAGTCAAAACCTTCATCAGAAGGCATGAACAGATAGAGCTCGATGGCAGGCTAAGTCGCTTGCAGAACATTAAAATTGCTTAGTATTCTTTTGGCAGGCTGATTCACAGAATCACATAAGAGGCAGCAGTTGCGAGAGCTCGCTTTGCTAAACTTGAGAGAAAACAGTCCCGGGCCAAGCTGTAGTGTTTCCCCCATTCAATTCAAATGCAATGAAAAACCCAAAAACAGGACGCTTAGAGAGCATGACATACCGAATTACCGATAAAAGTATGTGTGCATAACTGACCTAGTAGTGTTGGTGACGTCTGCTCTTGCTTCTTCTTCTTGGCCTCAGATCCACACTAGTTAAGCTAAGCACCAAGAAAAGCTTATCAGCTTCTCACACAGGGAAAAAGAGGATAATGTTAAATACAAAAGAAAGAATGTAAAATAGCGGTCATAACAGTAAAATCTTCATAAAAAAAGAAGAAAAAATAGCGGTCTTAGATGGTTGATGCATTGCAAACCATTAAGATACATTCTTTAGATTTATTCATGTGTTGAACTTGTGGTATAATAATATATACATATGTAGAAAGCTTTCCAATTTGGCGAACAAAGTTGTGTCTTTCTTTCATCAAAAAGAAAGACATTGAAAGTTCAATGCTTTTGTCCGAAATTAAAAGTGAATCCTATAAAAGAAAAATCAACAATGGTGGTGGGTCAGCCCAACATGCTTGCTTAGTTGGTGAAGTAGTTGAGTGTTATGGCACGTGGGAGCTCATAAACAGCTTAAGGTTCGCACGTGGGAAATGGGCCGATTGATTTTGATTGTTGTAGAAAACTAGGGTTTTAAGGCGTAGATCAGGTTCCGTCCTAAAAATTCTAAAAGGAAGCCAATTTCGATTCTCGGAGAGGATCACCGATCTTTCGTCCATTCACGGCCATACTTGTCGATAAAGATGGCGGCTATGGCGGCGAAGCTTCAACTATCGGCGAAATCGGATCAGAGCAGTGTACGATTACCTAGAGTGATCAATCTCTCACGCGATCCAACGACTAGAATCTCGTTTCCGCGAAATGGATCAGTTTGTTCACTCCACACCAATTTCTCTTCTCCACATCTCCCGAAACCTTGCGCCGGAGGTGGTGGTGGTGGAAGCATCGGTAATCACGGCGGTGGAAGTGGAAGCGGGGGAGGAGGAGGTTCAGGCGGTGAAGCAGGAGAAGAATCATCTCCATGGGGGCCAATAGGGTTATTCATCCAAGGATGGAGATCACGAGTTGCAGCTGATCCTCAATTCCCTTTTAAGGTACTAATGGAAGAGATTGTTGGACTTAGCGCTTGTGTTCTCGGTGACATGGCTTCACGCCCGAATTTCGGATTGAACGAGCTCGATTTCGTCTTCTCGACACTCGTTGTAGGTTCGATTCTCAATTTCGTACTCATGTACCTGTTAGCTCCTACTGCAGCAACTCTTGGCTCCTCTCAGACCTTGCCTGGAATCTTTAGAAACTGTCCATCAAGCCATATGTTTGAACAGGGTAGCTTCACCGTTATGAATCGTTTTGGGACTCTTGTGTACAAAGGAATGGTTTTTGCCAGTGTAGGATTAGCTGCAGGTCTTGTAGGTACTGCCATCTCTAATGGGTTGATCATGCTGAGGAAGAAGATGGACCCGGACTTTGAAACGCCAAACAAACCGCCACCGACTGTGCTTAATTCCTTAACTTGGGCTACGCATATGGGAGTGAGCGCGAATGTGAGGTACCAAACGTTGAATGGGATTGAGTTCTTGCTGGCAAAGGTGTTACCGCCTTTGGTGTTTAAGACCGGTGTAGTGGTTTTGAGGTGTGCGAATAATGTTGCGGGAGGAATGTCGTTTGTTATGTTGGCGAGGCTGACAGGATCACAGTCGGTTGAGGAGAAGACAGAGATTTCAGAGAAAGAGAAGGATGATTGAATCTCATCTTAGTCTTTCAAGGTTTTTGTTCCCGTGTGCTTTCGCCAGTTCATAGGCTTCTTGAGTTGAAACCATTTGTGTTGGAATAAATAAGATGAATCCCTTCTTAGGTTCCATCCTAATATTGGGATGTCATCATTAGGCCAAGTTTTACTGTTTTCTTTTTCTACTATGAATACAAACTCAATAAAAAGGTTATAAAATACAAATAAAGACTTCATTCTGTTATGTGAGACAGTAAGAGAAAGCTCTCTGTTTATTGTTTATTGAAAACTGATAGAAAAGCAAATGAGGTTGGTGACGCTTGTGGTTGTTGGTAGACAAATTACAGGACAAAATAAACACAAGAATTGATCAGTTTTAATGGATTACGTAGCTAATGATGCTCTATCATTATGTAGGTGCTAATTAATAATGGGTTTATTGTCTAATGGGACAGATGGTGATGGCTGATGCGTGTCAAGAAACGAAAACTATATGCAAACAAATTAACTTTTTGCAAGATATATATACCACAATAACTTTCCTACTGTATTCGCATTTTTCAGTAATTCGTCCCCCTGATTACATAAATAAAACAAAATAAGAAAGCTCTTGTCAAAAGTGTTGTTTTGTTGATTGGCAAAACAAAAAAGTGTTGTTTTGTTTTTAGATTCCAGTAGATTAGAGCTAGATAAAGCCCCATCTACTTGATCTGTACCCAAACATATATCCAAATTAAGAGTACAAGACATCCTCTTTTCCATTCACCCAATCATCCGACAAGTTTGTATAGACACGAGTTAAGTCAGGGTATGAAGTATACATATCTTACAACATGGAATAAGAGAGTGTGTGTGAGTTCACAAGGAGCCATCATCTAACAGCCTCAGGTGCAGAATTGCAGTAGGGTGTGTGCAAGCACACGAGTCTTGTGAAAGTCAGACACACAACAGCACACACTAGTCCCAGCACCATCCCCACACTGCCTTTCCTTCTCTCTAACCTCACCGCTCTCTTAATTACCTGCCAGAAGCTGGGTAGTAATCCACCGCACGCTACAACCATCACGTGGTCCAGTCCGCTGTAATCTATCCCGGCTAATATGGATCCTATCGCCGATATGGGTCCCACAAATCCTATCAAAGCTGCTGCTGCAAGAGCTGCGTGCCAACTGTCAGTGGCCCCAAAGACACAGCTAGCAACCGCTGTCCCTCTTGGGAGCCCGTGTAGGGAAACCGGGAGTACCATGTGTCGGCCAAGTCCATAAGCATTTGGAGCAGCCACACCAAGAGCAAGCCCCTCCGCTAGTGCATGGAACCCAACCGCTCCACACGCTAATAATGATTGGAGTGTTATCACACTGGTTGGAAAATTGGTTACTGGGTTTATTAAACTGCCAGCCCGGGACTTTTTCCGACAGGTTACATTCAGGATTGTCGAGCTAGTGAAATAGCTCAGCCCGGCTCCAACTGCAAGTAGACTAACCAGAGGGATAAACCCCATTTTTGCGGATAGCAGCAGTTGAAGCGGGCGCCAGAGACCAAGGACAAAAGCAATGCCTGAGGCTACTCCCATGAGAAGGGCGTGCTGGAGACGGAAGGTCACTGCCGATGCAACCAGAAATACTCCCCCAAGCAATGGACCCAGACCAAAGAGGAGTGAAATGAAGAAGCCAGAAGCATCCTCTGAGCTGCAGATTGAAGAAAATGAAGCCTTAGTTAAATTTAAGAACCAATAAATGGAGCAGCTTATAAATTTTACTAGAACTCCGTAGTTTTACTTGTAATCATGTGTGAAACTCTCGAAAAGAGTGCTAAGAGCTTCCATGGATGCTACTGATATTGTGGCTGCAGATGCCACTTGCGACGGAGACGCTTCCTGTTGTGGTTACAATGAACATAATTTAATTCAGTATACTAAGTGAAATCCGCATCTTTCTCAAATACAAACATTTAACATTGATTTCATAAACCGCCACATGCAATTCACCTTAAATGCATCAGGAAGCACTTCAGCAATAACCATCCAAATCATGCATCCGGCAGCGAATCCAGTGCAAAAAGGCAAAAACTTGCTGAACGCATCAGCGCATAAAAAAGCTGGCACAGCGACGAGAGGCTGGTAAAGAATGCAAAAAAGAAAAGAAAAGAAGAATCAGTATCGTGTTATGCAAACAAAGAAATCTGATCACAGAACATCATATGATTACCTGAGGTAAGGATGTTATTATACTCCAGAGCATGGCATTTTGTGGAGAGACACCCCTTGATGCCAGCACCATGCTAACAGCCAACCCTTCTGGAATGTTATGAACAGCTATAGCCAAAGTGACCAGAAGCCCTTGACTAAAACCCTTTGAACCAGCGAACGATACACCAACCCCTGATCCTTCCCCGAAAGAATGAAGTGTCATAATTCCTATGACGAGAACAACTTTAGTTGCATCTGCACCTTTAATATCCAGCATACTAACTTCACCATATTGTTCAAGAATCTGTCCAAAATACAGGGTTAATTAATAATTGAATTTTCAATTCTAAAATTTCATGCAACTCTAAAACTAGTGAAAAGGCAAGATTTTCTCGGCATGCTGTGTCTAAAAAGTATGATATTCGACAACTCTGCAGATGATAAGAGTATACAACATAAAAATAGGTTTCTGTCAACTGTCAACACATGAGATTTAAATTCAAAATACTATGCAAATAAGTAACTAGGTGATTGACAGCAGAACATTCAGTTGCTTACCTGCTTACAGAGCCAGATGAACAAAGCACCGGCTAGGATCCCAGTAACAACCCAGTTTCCAGAGCCATGCTCCTGCCCTTCCTTAACAAGATCAAAGCTAGCGGCCAACATCACACCAGCCGCCATACCATTGCAGATTCCAGCCCACTGAGGATCAAGCTCAACAAAGAAGAAGGGCAGAGCACCTAACCCAGTGGCAGCAGCCATAGCCAAGGTGAACAATGCAACTGTTGAAACTGAAACTTTGTTGTGAGTGCCTCTCTTTTCACCCATTCCAATGTCATGTAAGGTTTTTTCTACACCACTTCCGTCAATAACATTTCGTCCCATGTTTTCATGGGGAGAAGCTCTAACTTTATGTGAAATCTCCCACTGAGAATTTGCATCAGTGTTCCGAATGAATACAACGACAAATAAGAATAGAAGCAGCAGAAGTCGTTTGCAGCTTGAATGCATCATTTTGATGCTGAACGATCTTCAAGCAAGTTTTCTCCTTACAAGGGATTAGAGAAAACGCTCACTAAATAACCTCTGAGGCTTATTAGAATCAAAACAGCATCAAGGGGAGGTAACTGTTTCCTGTTTAACAGATCACAAGAACAAATTTCAACTCAGTAACTGCAAAGAAGAAAATTTTAAGTGCACTTGTTAGCGCATCACCCGTTTAATAGATCAAAACAACGGAATTCAAACTCATCGATGTTAACAGACAAAAGCGTACAGGATTATGTTCCCTGCGCAGTAGATTGATCCAAATATCTTTATAAACGCATTTGCAGAGGAAAAACAATAATTTCATCACCCAAACGAAACATAAGGAAACCCAGAACTACAAAGCAACAATCTTCGCAATATAACACATAGTTCGTACATAATCGTTCTATTCTTTTTTCAATTGGAAACAAAAAAAAAAACTCGGATTTCTTGCAATTCGATTACCAGGTTACAATTAGCGAACTCAATTTCAGAAATTTACGATTTGATCTACCATTCTACACATTTTAGACAATCCAATCCATGTATTTAAACCAGGAAGCCAGATTAATGCTAGAACAAAAAACGGGATCGCAGAACTTACCAGCACAGTAATAATCGGAGCACGAAAAATGTTGGATCGGATGTACATGAACAAAATTCCAGGCGAATGAAGAAGAATTTAAGGAGATGTGATGACAAATTTTGAAAAAAAAAAAAAGAACCCTACTGCGACGACCGGATCCCTTCTCGTTTAGGAGACTTTGGGATAAATCATGGAAGCCAAATTTTATCAAAGGAATATCCTCTGACATTTACTTTTACATTTAAAAAAATAAAATAAAAAAACTCACTACTAGAATATATGTGATAAAGACCCTCGAGTTTGCTAATCTCCCCAAAGAAGTCAGAATAAGGTGAAATTATGAAATTGACGTCCATAATGTTAGATTCATGGCACCGTATCAGTTATTTAGGACACATTCGATAAGTTCATCGTGGGTTCTTTTTTTTTGTTCTTATTTGTGTTACAAATACAATTTAATAGATGTCAAAAAAATAATAATTAATACAGAAAAAGAGAGTTTTATTTATCTTCTTAACAAAAGCTGGTTTATTGGAGACTTTGGAGTGGATGAGAAGTGTGACTGATTATTTCATTACATGGATGCAAGTAGTCGGCAGTTCGACACTCAAGCTGCAAGAATTAACATGCTAGAAAACATGTTGTTTATACTTAGTTGATATTATGAGTTCGAAATATTTGTTGGCTGTTGTGATTAAAAATCCAATGTGCTGAACTACGAACACAATATCTTTAGACACATCAACAATGCTTCTTCTTTTTTGGGTCAAAACACATCAATTTATAAGAAAACAATAGAGATAAATTCATAAAGCATACCCCCAAATTGATCAAGAAATATCAATCAGAAGCTATAGCGATGGTTATACCAACGATATGTGGCACCGATCCTATGTCCAGACAACTTGATAAATGACTTACTATACTCTTTGTATAATATTATAATTTTGTGGTACAGAAAACTACACATCAACCTTGGCTAATGAACATGTATATATGAATGAAAAGCAAGAGAAGCTACAATAAGAACATACCAAAACAAACACAGCGATGCGCATTAAAGAAAACTTGAGAGATCTCTCCCAAAAGTATATCCTTTAACTTTGTCCTTTTGCTATTTGTTTGTTCCTCTTTAATTTGGTGGGTTTTCATAGGACATCGACTTCATTTCTCAGTTCTCTATCCATTTTATTTTAACATCGACATCGAATTATAAGTCCTGCTTGAACAAGTTTGGACAAACTTCCACCAAAGTATGTATAGTGTTTTAGTTAGGTCTGGGCATAATATCCGAACCCGAAAAACCGAACCGAACCCGATCCGAAAAACCCGACCCGAACCCGAACCCAAAGTTTTAAAATACCCGAACAGGTTCTAAACTTTACAACCCGAAAACCCGAATCCGAACCCGATCCGAACCCCAATCCGAACAAGTACCAGAACATACCCAAAATATAAGTACATAGTTATATTTTATTAGTAATATTTATAATTGTAATAACCTAAGTGCCTAAATTATTCGGATGTTAAGATATCTCCGGGTGTTTTAGCTACTTTGGGCTAGATTCGGGTATAAAATGCTTGAATTTTATAGATTTTTTGAGTATTTTTCAATACTTTGCATAGAATCGGAGACAAAATTTCTAATATTTGGATACTTCGGGTAAACCCGAATCCGAATCCGAAATATCCGATCCGAACCCGACCCGAACCCGAAGCTTTAAAATAGCCGAACGGGTCTTAGTTTTCTAAATCCAAATAACCCGAACCCGAAAAACCCGACCCGAACCCGATCCGAATATCCGAACGCCCATGCCTAGTTTTAGTACTGTTATTTACTCCCTCCGTTTCTGAAAGTTTGATGTTCTAGTGTTTTAGGTTTGTTCCACAAAGATTGATTTTCTAGCTTTTTATTTTATTTTTTATTAATTGATATTAACAAATCGTAGATTTCAAGGCGTAATGATTACAAATAATTAACTGTTTTAGATTACTACTGGTTCATACATTATTAAAAATATTTAATAAAAAGAAAAAATTATTAAATGATTAAATCATGATTGTTTCTTAATATATGTGTAAACTCTAAAACATCAAATTTTCAAGAACAGATGGAATATGGTTTAACGTGTTGTTGCTTTAAAATTATTGTGATATAAATGGAGATGCAGTGAAGGGAATGTGTACGTTCCCAAGATGCAACAATAGTGGAGTCTTTATGGAGTTCCGTGCCACATCCTCTTTCCTTTTCTCACGTGCCCTTAATCATTATGTGTCATGATTTTGGATGTAGTTGAAAATGCATTAAGACTACCATGTGAAACGGGACGGTCCGGTCTGGCTGAGCACTTAGTTCAAAAAGTCCGAGTGTCCGACCAATATGTAGTTTGACATAGGTCCGCCGGTTTAAATGAGTTCCGACCAGGATGAACTCGCTCCAATAATTTGTGCCGGTTTAAATGAGTTCCGACCAGGATGAACTCGCTCCAATAAATTGTAACACATAACAGCCTTTCGGTACAAACAAAGAAATTTCGAATCCCATTTCTCCGATTTACAGATCTTCCATTAAAAAAAGTTTTTGAAAAGTTTGAGGACAAACAAAAATTTTGATTTTATAGCTAGAAATTCGATATTTATAGAGTGATGAGAGATTTGTGATTTCTTACGATTGTCCAACAAACAAATTGAGTAATCTATATATACATTTTTGGATGACTTTTAGCAAATAAATCCTGGAGTTGGAATGTATTTACGGATGAATGCCATTGGCATTAATTATTTAAATTTGAAAAATATTAATTAAAGATATTACCAACACGATTTCGAGAATCATAAATTCATATCTTCCTTAATTTTCTGAGTCATTAATGTGATAATCTTTAGGAAATATTTCTCTCTAAAAAAAAAAATCCACATTAATGAAGGCATTAAAATCGACGCTAACAATTAAATTATTTAGATATTCAATTATTTTAAGATTCTTATATCTTATTTGATATTTTTTTTTTAATATCTCATTCTTTAATTACTGCGTTTAGAATTTATTGGTTGTTACCTGGTGAAATTTATTGGTTGTTAGTAAGTAATTATGGTGCGTTTATTTTAGTTAATATCTAATTTAAAGGATTTGTTTTCTTTTATTATTAATAAACGAATAACATGTATAGAATAAAAGATTTTTCTTGCGACTCCATAATAAAAATATTAAACTCTTATTTTCTACATTTCTTACACATAATATCCTCTTATTCAATAACAAAAAATATATATTGCATATTTTTAAAAATATTTATAATATTTAAATTATATAAAAAGTTTGTAATATTAATATTATTTCAACTCTATACAAATTTAATATATATGTATATATATCTTATGGGAACCATTTCACGGGACGGGTAATATGATGGGACGGGTTTGGGTTGATATTTATAAAAGATAGTATACCACGGGTGAAATCCTAAAATTAACAATCAAAATAATCTATCAAACAAATTACATTTTGATTTTTTTAAGAAAATATAGCCCCGTGGTGTACCGCGGGTTAAAATCTAGTTGACAATAAATAAAGTAACATAGATATTCACGTTTCCTTAAAACAATAGTAGTTTTAATCGGTTCATTAGGAAATTGAATCAATTAGTTTATTTTTTACATCCGATTTAGGAAAGTAAATAGTTATTCAAAACCAAAGATGACAAAAATAAAAGGGCAAAAACTATTACCGCCGTAATGCTTTTTATATAAAGCTTGTCCTCTTGAGCACTCGAGAATCTTTTTTCTCCGCTACTTTCTTTCTTCTCAAGAATGCGTTAGCGTCTTTGTCTGCACACAAAGCAAAAGCAGAGAGACAGGTCTGTGAATCCCAAAACTCTATTCTCTGTACTATCGATTCTCCCGGGGATCTGGTGAGTTAGATAGAGATTCACGATGGGTACTAGTATGTCAGACAGCCCTCTGTCTCTTTCTTCTTCCTCTCCTCCTAGTAACAGTCGCTCCCCTGTTCCTCCAACTTTCTCCACTCGGTCTGTCTTCTCTCTCCAGTTTTGTAATAATATCTGTTTAGCTTTAACTGTATTCACGTGTTAATATGAATGTAATGATTTGAGCTTTGGTTCTATGACAATTGCAGCATATTCTCTGATGTTGCGGGTGACATCATTGTTGTTGTCGATGGAGAATCATTTCTGCTTCACAAGGTTAGCGCACACAGCTTGTTCGATGAAATTCCTTTTTCTTTAGTGTTTTTAGATCAAACGCATCAGAGAAGATTTAAACATTGCAGTTTCCGTTAGTAGCTAGGAGTGGAAAGATGAGGAAGATGGTGAGAGATCTTAAGGACTCTTCATCTATGATTGAGCTCAGAGATTTCCCTGGTGGACCTCCGTCGTTTGAACTCGCCATGAAATTTTGCTACGGCATTAATTTTGAGATCACTGCCTCCAACGTGGTAGCTCTTCGTTGCGCTGCTGGTTATCTCGAGATGACTGAGGACTATAAAGAAATGAACTTGATCTTTCGAGCAGAGAATTACCTCGACCAGATCGTTTTTCGCAGTTTCCATGAATCTGTCCTAGTACTTTGTTCCTGCCAGACGCAAGAGATTGCTGAAACATATGAAATTCCTGACCGGTGCATGGAGGCCATCACCATGAATGCTTGCAGAAACCAGTTAGTATCATGTTTATCAGAGGAGCTCAAGGGGAGAGATTGTCTTGAGTTGTGGACTGAAGAACTCTCTGCTCTTGGTATTGATTACTACGCCCAAGTTGTATCTGAGATGGCGAGATTAGGCGTGCGGTCAGAGAGTATCGTCGCTTCTCTGGTGCATTACGCTAAAACATCATTAAAGGGTATCATCAATCCAAACTGCCAGGAGCAGAGGAAAATCATTGAAACCATGGTTACCCTTTTGCCGAATAACGAAAAAGGATCTTATTCTTTATCAACTATTCCTCTCAGTTTCCTCTTTGGAATGCTTAAGGTCGGAACTATAATAGATATAGAGATCTCTTGCAGGCTCGAGCTCGAGCGTAGAATCGGGCATCAGTTAGAGATTGTATCTCTCGACGATCTGCTAATACCTTCTGTCCAAAACGAAGATTCAATGTACGATGTGGATACTGTCCACAGGATACTCACATGCTTTCTTGAGAGGATTGAGGAGGAAGATGAAGAATGTGGTTACGAGTCGGATTCCACGGGACAGCACAGTTCATTGCTGAAAGTGGGACGGATCATGGATGCTTACTTGGCTGAGATCGCACCGGATCCATACCTGAGTCTACTCAAGTTCACGGCCATTATAGAGACATTACCCGAACACTCACGTATCATAGACGATGGAATCTACAGAGCCATTGATATGTATCTCAAGGTAAACCAAAAGCAATTTTAAAAAGTCGGATTCATGTTTTGAAAACGTCTCAAACTAATAATCAAATATGGATATATGTTAGGCTCATCCATTATTGACAGAAGAAGAATGCAAGAAGCTATGCAAATTCATTGACTGCAAGAAACTGTCACAAGAAGCAAGCAACCACGTGGCACAAAACGATCGGCTTCCTGTACATATGGTGGTTCGAGTGCTTTACACAGAACAGTTGCGACTGAAGAAAGCTCTGTCCGGAGATTCGGAAGAAGGGTCGTGGGTTTTGTCGTCTGGAGTACAAAGCCGAGCGGTTTCCCCAAGAGACACGTATGCATCGTTGAGGAGAGAAAACAGAGAGCTGAAGCTGGAGATATCGAGGATGAGAATGAGGGTGAGCGAGTTAGAGAAACAACATAATTTGATGAAACATGAGATGATGGAGAAGTCCGGTAGTAATAGTGGAACCTTCTTGACGTCATTGTCCAAAGGAATCGGAAGGATCGCGATATTCGGCGGAGAAAACCGGGAAAAGGTTAACCGGAAATCAAGGTCGGTATCGGAGAGAAAAACAAGTAGAAGGGATTACATAAAAACGTCACCGTTTAAGGGGTTGCTATCTAAACGGAGACAAGTCATGTGTAGCGGGAGGTATAATGGGCCGGGAGGAGTGTGAAGTAGGCCCATTAAAGAACAAAGAAGGTCTCGTTTTCAGCCTATAAAAACAAGGAAAACATGGGAATAAATGGGGTCGGGTCCGAGCCGTCTTTGTCCAAAATTATCCCGATAAGAAATTTTTTTATAAAAGTATTTTTTTTTTGTCTAAAAAAGATTCAATACAGTAAAAAAAAATGTTTTATGCGTTGTTCGTTGTTACGGTTATTTAGTGTAAATTTGTTTTTTTTTTTAATAAGTTTCCGGAAATAGTACGTCACCTGAAATAACAAAATTATTAAAGGATTTGATTAAATCTCAACTTCTAAAATTTACTAATATAGAAAGAGAAGACCACGTGGTGTCTAACTCATACACATTCATAAATCAACTTCTTATAGCATAGTATAATATTACCAAGAAATTAGGAAACTACCTTCACTTCTCCGCCTCATAAATAATTTATATCTAAAAAGAAATAAAAAAGGAGTATGATTGATGAAAGATGAACATGCATCGTGATAACATTAGATGGTACAATATCCTCACCAACTTGGAAGTGACACAAATTATACATTACTAGCTACTAGTAGATCTGAATCTCTCTCTCTCTCTCTCTTCTCTAATGCCGTAAATTGTAAGCTAACTCTTCCCACATAGTGCCTCGATTCTTGCCTTTTGCTTTCGTTCGTTTGCTTCTCTCTCTCTCCCTCCTCCGACAATGAATAGGAATCTCAGAGAATCTCTTGCCGGTGGGAGGAATATTCCGGCGATCTCTCAGTTTCGCAGAGGCAATAACAACAACAACAACATCTCTCCAAATGGCTTCTCTAGAGATTCCGATGAGAATCTAGATCTCTTCTCTAAGATCCGTCGCTCATTCCCATTGGCTTCCTCCGACGAATTACCCGACGGTTCGTTTCAGATTCACTTTTATTTCCTTTTTGTGGAAATCGATTACGTGTGCTTGCTTCGATGAAAATAATTTCTAATTATATATCTGGGGATCTTCGAATTTGGTGCTACGAGACACAGTTGTCAGATTCGGAGACGAAAACGATGTCACTCTCTACTCAATTTATTGGTTCTGTGGTCGCTGCCCTAATTTTTGTTCGAACTGTCTTCGTCTCCTAGATTCGATCTCTTTGCTTTTTCAATTACACTGATTTGATGAGAGACAAGGCCATCTCAAAAAAGTACTTTTGGGACCAATGAAGAATTTTGCAGGATCTCTTCATCACTTTGATCCTTTTCTTAATTTAGTACTAAATCTATGCATCCTACGTTTTTCTGTTGTGTCTTCCTATAGTTTCGGCAAAACTCGGGAGACTTTCGGTCGGATCCAAAATAGCTCCCAAAGGTAAAGGTGATGATCTCTTGTCTTCAGGTGAAGGTGGAAAAAATGATTATGATTGGTAAGTTTCTGCCGATTCTCTGCTCACTGATTTACTCTCTTTTTGTATATCTTTGTGGTTCCAATCGAACAGTGGCTCAATTAGGTGTAGTGTTTGTCTTTTGGCCACTATGTAATTCAAAATGTTCATCTTTTGGTTGCCTGCACTTGGTAGTGTCCAATTTTCTGTTGGTAAGGTTAAAATGATGTGCAGAAACTGACGCCTTTTCATCTCTTGGCTCATTTATGTTATCTCTAGGCTTCTTACTCCTCCTGGAACACCTCTTGGAAGTGACTCTCATTCATCTTTGGCAGCTCCAAAGATTACATCTTCCGCTAGAGCCAGTTCTGCTTCAAAGGCTTCAAGGGTATTTACGGATTTTCTTCATTCAGTTTTCCTTTTTCTCCAACATCTGGTTCTTGATTACAATCAAGAACTTCAAAAAGTTGCTGTTTTTGTCTCCATAACTTTCTAAATCATACAACTGCACTACCTTATTAATACACGAATGCTGTTTTTTTCTTTCTATTACAGCTTTCAGTTTCGCAGTCAGAGAGCAGTTACCATTCTTCCCGCCCCGCTAGAAGTAGCTCTGTGACTCGGCCATCCATTTCCACCTCACAATACAGCTCATTTACTTCAGGCCGTTCACCATCTTCCATCCTAAACACTAGTTCAGCTTCAGTCTCATCCTACATTAGACCTTCATCCCCTAGTTCCCGTTCGTCATCTTCAGCTAGACCTTCCACTCCCACCCGTACTTCTTCGGCATCACGGTCCTCAACTCCATCGAGAATCCGTCCAGGGTCATCTAGTTCATCCATGGACAAGACCAGACCGTCCCTGAGCTCAAGACCATCGACTCCAACTTCTAGACCACAGCTCTCAGCAAACTCCCCAAATATAATTGCTTCTAGACCAAATTCTCGTCCTTCCACCCCTACCCGTCGAAGCCCATCCACCTCGGTGTCTGCAGCATCAGGATCCAATATTTCAGGTGGACGTGCTGTATCAAATGGTCGTACTGCACCTTCATTGTCTAGGCCAAGCTCTCCTGGACCTAGAGTTAGAACCACCCCGCAACAGCCAATTGTTCTAGCAGACTTCCCTCTTGATACACCACCTAATCTCAGAACATCTCTCCAAGACAGACCAATATCAGCTGGTAGGTCCAGGCCAGTCGCTGGTAGCAGCATGGCAAAGGCAAGTTCAGAACCCAAAGGTCCCATCACAAGAAGGAATTCATCTCCTATCGTGACTAGAGGAAGACTGGCTGAGACCCAAGGAAAAGGCCGTTTTGGTGGTAATGGGCAGTACCTCACAGATGCACCAGAGCCCCGGAGGATTTCAAACGTGTCTGACATAACTTCACGGAGAACCGTTAAGACCTCGTCAACTGTCACGGACAATAACAACGGACTTGGGAGGTCATTCTCAAAAAGTTCACTCGATATGGCCATTAGACACATGGTACATATATCTCTTTTCACTAAGAGCAAGTAGCCTTTTTACCATGCTATGAATATCTCAACATTTTTTATGGTACGTGTAGGACATAAGAAACGGGAAGACTAACGGGTGCGCACTATCAACCACAACGCTATTTCCTCAGAGCATCAGACCAGCCTCATCCAAGATCCAGCCAATCCGTTCAGGGAATAATCATTCGGATTCTATCAGCAGCAACGGCACAGAGAACGGGAATGGAGCAAATGAGGGTAGAAGACTGATGGGGAAGTTGAGCGACATGGACATGTATGAGAGCTCAAGGTATGATGCATTGTTGCTGAAAGAGGACGTCAAAAACACAAACTGGTTACATAGCATCGATGACCGGTCGTCAGATCACGGACTCATGTTTGACAATGGAGGCTTCGAGCTACTTCCAGAGCCCTTTGCCCCACTATAACACACAAACACACACACACACACCACAAGTAAACAACTTTTTTTCTTTCTAAAACCACTTCTCTCTTCTTTACTTTTTTATCTTACATAATTTGTTTGCTTGTCAATGGTGGAAAAAGGCTCTAAGTGTTCTTGGTTCTTTGGTTATTGATTCTTGATTCATGGCTATTGAGTGTGGTTTGTAACTTTGTAGTTACTAGTTATAATATTTGAGGAGATGGTAACGTAATGTTGTACCTCAAGTTCACTCACTCTTTCTCCAGGAAAAAAAAAAGTTCACTCACTCTTGTTGGAATTGATCATGAACGAAAGTACGAAACAATTAGAATGTGAAAAGAGGAAAGAGAGGTTCACGCGCCTAACGTGAATCAATGACAGAGCTAAGTTAATAATGGGTGACAGCGAAGCACACAACCAACAAAGGCCAGTGTTCTGTAAAAAGAAAAAAAAATTAATTCCAGAAATTGACTTTCATTAATGTCATATTTGAGATTTAAGATGATTTCAATTTTGTTTTATTGTTACCCCTATGGCCCTATTTTATAATAAATACCCTCATTAATGTCATATACCAAACTCCTCCTCTTCAGGGGTCCATTTTTAAGAAAGATACCCACTTACCCGAATTAAATATCAAATAAAATAAGCTCAATTTGCAACATAATTTGTTGAATATTCCCTACTCTAGTTGTTTTCCTTAACCATTTTGTTCTTGAAATACTTTTATTTTATTATTGTTTAAAGAATTTCACAATTATCCATTTCAATTATAAGTTGCATAATTTCACATAAGCTAATTTCAAAAATTTGAAAACTTCTCAAAATGAAGACATTTAATCAACTGGTGACCCATTCAATACGAAAATTAGGATGATTTTAAAAGAATAAGAAAATTAAATGTTGGGAATTTATTAAAAGCTACTATAAGGTATAAATAATTCGTTTAGAATAAAAACAAAGGAAATGAACAAAAGGACAAATATTTAATTTAGCTTAGCAAGTAAAAAAAATCTAAAAAGAGTCAAAGGGGGGGCTTAAAGCCAAAGAGCAAAAGCAAATCGGAGTACAGAGAGAAGAGAGAAGAGAGAAGAGAGATTGGAATCTGAAACTGAAACATCGAGATTTACGTTTCTCCGTTGGCGTCACGCCGAAGCTTCCATACTTTTTTCACCAGAAACCCGCAACGTTTTCTCTCTTCTGACTCTTGCTTGAATCACTTGGGGTTGTGTCACTGAATCTGCATCAATGGCGATTCCAGATTCCTCACTCTTTTCTGCTTTTGCCTTTAGCTCCTCAAGCTTCTTCTTCACGAAATGCCGTTGTTGTTAAAAGTGATTACTCCACTATCTCCTTTCCTTTTGCATTTATTCTCCACTCTCTCACTCAGTCTTCTTCTACGATCAGCTCACCAATGTCCCTCACCATTCTCCTCTGAACCAAGGTCTCTCTCTCACTTTCGATCTCTGTTTTCTTCTTGTTCTTTTTGGGTTTAGCTTCGTTGCTAGATTTTCTTCTTTCTCAATTTCATTTACTCCGTTTAGCTAGCTGGAGAAACCCTAGTTTCTTAGTAGATTGCAGATCTGGGTTCATCAAGTACCTGCCCACACATCTCTCTTACTAATCGTTTCTAAATTTAGTTACTTTCGTAGTTGGGGTTTTTTTTGATGATTTCGTATTACCATTATAAATTCTTCAGCCAATGTGTGCATATAGCTTCCTTAATTTCATCTTTTGATTTGATAATTGAGTAATGAATGTTGCATTCGATTTATCATCATTCCCATTTCCCACTTTGGTTCTTGAGACTTCTCGCCCAAAAGCTTTTGCTTTTAATTTATGGACAAGTTGATTTTTTTTCTACTTTTTCTTACCACACCGATGATTGTCATTATTAAGGAAGCTTTCCATTTTGTTCATCTTTATACTCCTGATACCTGTGATGTGTCTGGTGTCATTCTTGGCTACTACTTATTCATAGATACAATTCTCATTTTTTAAAGTTAACTGTTATGTGGCTCTAAATCATTACATCTTGTGTTTTGTGTTCTCTTGCAGTTGCTGTTGAATGAGAAAGCTTTGATGTGACTGAACCTGAGAGTGTAACAAAGGACTCATGATGAAGATTATTGCGGCGTTCCTCTTCCTCTTGGTCTCACCTTTTGTTTCCCGTTGTTTCTCTGCAGACATAGAATCGGACAAGCAAGCACTGCTTGAGTTTGCATCTCTTGTTCCTCACAGTCGCAAACTCAACTGGAACTCCACTATTCCAATCTGTGGTTCTTGGACCGGTATCACCTGCTCCAAGAACAACGCCCGTGTAACCGCACTTCGTTTGCCTGGATCTGGACTTTATGGACCTTTACCAGAGAAAACATTTGAGAAGCTTGATGCCCTCAGGATCATTAGCCTTAGATCCAACAACCTACAAGGGAACATTCCATCTGTCATTCTTTCTCTTCCTTTTATCCGATCACTCTACTTTCACGACAACAACTTTTCTGGTACTATCCCTCCCGTTCTTTCTCGTCGCCTTGTTAATCTTGATCTCTCCGCCAACTCCCTCTCTGGAAACATTCCCTCGAGTCTACAAAACCTTACCCAGCTCACTGATCTAAGCCTGCAAAACAATTCCCTTAGTGGGCCAATTCCTAACCTCCCTCCTCGCCTTAAATACTTGAACTTGAGCTTCAATAATCTTACCGGGTCAGTTCCATCTTCTATCAAGTCCTTCCCAGCATCCTCATTTCAAGGTAATAGCCTTTTGTGCGGTGCTCCTCTAACTCCATGCTCAGAGAACAACACTGCACCTTCTCCTTCACCGACAACACCAACAGAAGGTCCTGGTACAACCAATATAGGTCGTGGTACCGCCAAAAAAGTTCTCTCCACTGGTGCTATTGTGGGCATTGCAGTTGGAGGTTCAATTTTGTTGTTTATCATTCTTGCCATCATAACCCTTTGCTGTGCCAAGAAAAGAGATGGCGGGCAAGACAGCACCGCAGTGCCAAAAGCTAAACCCGGGAGGAGTGACAACAAGGCCGAGGAGTTTGGGAGTGGGGTGCAAGAGGCAGAGAAGAACAAGCTGGTCTTCTTTGAAGGAAGTTCATATAACTTTGATCTTGAGGACTTACTCAGAGCCTCGGCTGAAGTTTTAGGGAAAGGAAGCTACGGCACAACGTATAAGGCCATCTTAGAGGAAGGAACCACAGTGGTGGTGAAGAGGCTGAAAGAAGTAGCAGCTGGGAAACGGGAGTTCGAACAGCAGATGGAAGCCGTGGGAAGGATCAGTCCACACGTGAATGTAGCTCCTCTCCGTGCTTATTACTTCTCGAAAGACGAAAAATTACTCGTGTATGATTACTACCAAGGGGGCAATTTCTCCATGCTGCTTCATGGTAATATGATGTTTCATATGTTATTCAAGATTGTAAAAAGTGGCTTTAAAGTAACATTATAGATGAATTGTATATGCAGGAAACAACGAGGGAGGAAGAGCAGCGTTGGACTGGGAAACAAGGTTAAGGATCTGTTTGGAAGCTGCAAGGGGAATTTCTCACATCCATTCTGCATCTGGTGCTAAACTACTACACGGAAACATCAAATCACCAAATGTCCTCTTGACCCAAGAGCTCCAAGTCTGTGTCTCCGATTTCGGTATAGCTCCATTGATGAGCCATCACACCTTGATCCCATCAAGAAGCTTAGGTTACAGAGCACCCGAGGCCATAGAAACCCGTAAACATACCCAGAAATCCGATGTCTACAGCTTTGGTGTACTGTTGCTAGAAATGCTGACAGGGAAAGCAGCCGGGAAGACGACAGGGCATGAAGAAGTGGTGGATCTGCCAAAGTGGGTGCAGTCAGTGGTGAGAGAGGAGTGGACTGGAGAAGTGTTTGACGTAGAGCTGATCAAGCAGCAACACAACGTAGAGGAAGAGATGGTGCAGATGTTGCAGATAGCAATGGCATGTGTGTCTAAGCATCCAGATTCTAGGCCTACCATGGAGGAAGTGGTAAACATGATGGAGGAGATTCGACCTTCAGGGTCTGGTCCTGGTTCTGGTAACAGAGCCTCCTCGCCCGAAATGATCAGAAGCTCTGATAGCCCGGTTTAGATTGGTTTTTTATTCTCTTTTCTCTTTCTCAAATTATTTATTTTGCTTTTCCTTCTTCTTCTTCATATAATAAACCGTTTCATAGTTATATGTCTGACTGCATAATTTTTTTCCAAACATCTGGAAAAGTAGTGTAATTGAAAATCCTCACCATGAATGGTTGTAATTCTTAGATTGGTTTTAAGTATGGCTAGTTTTGAATTTTTCATTTTTTGTTGTAGGATTCGTTCAAAACCATTTTCTGAATCAGAAGTCTTTGGTTGTTTGAAAATCTAACGGAGTGATTTTCTTGAAAAGCCAAGAAAAACAAAAACAAAAACAAAAAAACTGTAGAACCATTGTAAATTTGTTGTTGTTATTCAATGTTTCAAGTCACAAACAAATTAAAAATTTATGTATATCCATTATCCACTAAAATTATATGTGGAATTTATTATCTTGAAAAGATAAATCTCTATACTATTAAAAGAGAAGTACAAATGAAAATGGGTCGGGTTAAAATCAGAAAATTGACCCGAAATTCTGAAATCGGATCTTTGAAATTTTTTTGGAATATAAATTCGAATTAATAATGAAAAATCGAAATAAAATCAAATATTTATGGAAATCAAATAAAATCTGATTGTAGTTATGGTAACTAATAATAAATGCATATTCCAAACAATATTATACATTAATTACGTATAATAAATTTATTCATATATTTTTGGGACTAATTCCATAACAATCAACGGTTTTGTCATTAATTTCGCTTATTTTAGCCAATTATCATTAATTGAAAGATATTTTACTTGCTTCTAAAGATTTTTAGAAAATTTATCACAAATAACCCATCTGTTTTATAAATTAAATTGATATTTTTTATTTTGGTCGTGTAAATTAAATAGATATGATATCCATGTAACTAATTTTAATTTAATTAGATTAAATCAAAATTATGATATTTTCATACCTATAGCTTACCAAAGAAGTTTAATTTTCAATTTATAAAGATTTCTTGAATATGATTTTAGAATTATTCAACAAGATGATAAGTATTTATTAAATTTTGTGAATCATGAAAAATAATAATTAATTTTTAATCATTATACTTCATCTTTCAATCTCTCATCTAAAAAATAAGATATATATTCTATTATTACTATGTCCAAACTTCATTTTGTTGTATGACTAAATAATATTCCCATTACAACTATCAAAGCGAGTTGATTCGTCCCGTTAAGTCCGTTTTTCGATAGACAAAAAATATTTTGACTTGTAGTTAGTCGGTCCGCACGACCCGCGGGTAGCATATATGAAATATAAACCCGTCCCGCGAATGTATGCGGATTTGCGGGATTGTCCATGGATTTTGTTTAAATAATTTTAAAGTAACCAAAATTTAAAATACTACTAAAATAAATAAATAAATCAAAATACTATTAAAAGTTTGTTTAAATTACCACATGTTGAATAAATTATAATTTTATCAATAAATACTAATATGCGGGCTGATCCGCCAACCCGCGGATGAAAACCGATTAAACCTATGACCCACTGCGAATTAATCCATATGGCCCGCTTATTTGCGGGTTTAATATATTTTCCCAAATCTGCCCCATAGTGAGATGATGTGGGCTCGACCCGTGGTTTTTGACCTATTTTGACTGCTCTAATTCCCATGAATCGTCTAATTTTAGAATTTTAAAACACAAAATTCTATTTTGTAAATCATAATTAATATGATGAGTATATTTATAAACAATTTTACATTTTCTCTACAATTCGTTATTATGAATATTTATAAGTATACTACACAATTCGTTCTACTAAAAACACACACAATATTAAACGCAACGTATGTAAACCAATATTCTCAAGCGGTAGACTAAGAAAGGCAAGTAGGAGAGAAGCTGTAACAAGTTTTCGTTTTCTCTTTGCACTCCATTTTTATTCTCGATTCTCTCCTCTCCCGATAAATAAGCTCTCGCTTTGTGGTGTCCGTCCTTCTTCCAGGTCTCAATTCCACCATTTCTATTTGGTTAAAACCCTAATTTCTTTCTCTCTCCCCCTGAATCTTCCTCTGTTTTATTTTCCGCGATTAGTTTCCACCACTTATAGGGTTTCTTTCTGATCACTTACATTTTGTGTTGTTTTGTTCGGTCTCTTGGTTTTCCTCTATGATCTGTTGTGTTCTTAAGTTGATTGTCTTAACTTTTGTCCTCTGTTCAATAATATTCTTGTCTTCCACAGGTTTTGGTGTCTGACGCATGGCTTCTAAGAGGATTTTGAAGGAGCTCAAGGATCTCCAGAAGGATCCTCCTTCAAACTGCAGCGCTGGTAATCGAATCTTATTTTTATTTAACGAATTAATTGCTTGGCACTAATGACTCTGGATTAGGTTCCTTACTCTCACTTGATTAGATTGATGTATGTCAGGGTATCTAAGTATCATACTTTTATTTCCTCAATCCATATTATGCTTCTGAGCTTTTTTTTGGTAAAGCTTTGATTTGCTGGTTTCATAGATTTTGTTGTTTGTTATATGCACTTCAATCATATTTACCTTTTTTTATTTGTCCTGTATTTGACAACTATCCATAGCTCAGCATGGTTTTGAGTTTTATGTCAATTATTGATGTAATTCTGTTTTCACGTTCTTATAGGTCCTGTGGCTGAGGACATGTTCCACTGGCAAGCAACTATCATGGGACCTCCTGAAAGTCCGTATGCCGGAGGAGTGTTTTTGGTTTCTATTCATTTCCCTCCGGATTATCCTTTCAAGCCACCAAAGGTAATGTGTTGTGGAATGAGACTTTTATCATCTTCTCTTTTTTTATCATTGATCTTATGATGTGTGATCTAATTTTTCAGGTGTCTTTTAAGACTAAGGTGTACCATCCAAACATCAATAGCAATGGAAGTATTTGCCTTGATATTTTGAAAGAGCAATGGAGTCCTGCTCTTACTATATCCAAGGTTTGATTTTGTGTATCTCTACTACTACTACCATTTAACAGAATTATGTTACCCAATTCTGTGTAGTAACCCGAGCGATTGATGCTGTGGAAATTAGGTTCTGTTGTCGATTTGCTCGCTGCTGACTGACCCAAACCCAGATGATCCTCTTGTGCCGGAGATAGCTCATATGTACAAGACAGATAGATCCAAGTACGAGTCAACTGCGAGAAGCTGGACACAAAAGTACGCAATGGGTTGATGATAAGACAAATATGGTCTGGACAAGCAAAGGATATGTTATTGCGCATGGGAATAAAATTAAAAAAAAAAAATGCACTTGTTTGGTTTAGCAAACGTTATTATGTATGAACAACTTAGTTGCTCTTAGTCCTCTTCTGTTCTGATCGCTTTAAACTGTTTATTTCGATTTTTGGGTCTACTTTTACTCTCTTGTTTTGCCTCTCCTCACTTGGTTGCAGGAAACTGCAATTCCAATCACCCCAAACGCAATGTTTGGACTGTTTGGTTCACTCATGACATAAGGGGTTCGCATCTACGCATGAATCAAACCAACTATTAGCCTTCCGTAGTTAGGAATCTACGGAGATCCCAAATACAAAACTCGTTCCTAAACTTCTATTAACTTCTACATCCAAACTGGTATATTTAGGGTGATAATGATATTTTTGAAAATTTTCAATATTATTCAAAAATGCACCTAATTTTAACTATAACATTTAAGAAAGTATACATATTTTTTACAGATGGCTATTATAGAAAATATCAAAACACAACCAAACCAATACCCGGTGTTTTAGAAAGTAAACATATATTTTATTGCAATTTTCCAATATTGTCCGGCATGGATCTTACTAAATTAGGTCAGGCGGTACTTGCCGACAGAATCAGAAGCTTCGAGACTGACTCGTTTAGATTCTCCGACGACTATAAAGGAGAAGCAGAGGGTTTTAGGATTTTCACGAATCTCTTCTCTCTTTAGTAGTGTGGCCTTGAAAGAAAGAATTAATCTCCGGTTGTGGTATGTTTCTTTCGATCTACTTGTTAGGGTTTATAATCACTTACGTTACGTACTTATGTGTTGTTTTATTCGTCTCCCTCTATGATCTGTTGTGGTGTTAGTTGAATTCCTTAATATTCATTATGTTTGCTTATCTCGTCCGCAGGTTTTCGTGTTTGAAAGCATATATGTCGGCTTTGAATCGGATTTCAAGGGAACTCAGGGACCTTCAGAGGGATCCTCCTGCAAACTGTAGCGCAGGTAAAATCTCCCTTTGCTTGGCTGATTTTAACTGATTGATTCACACACTAAAACACTTTTGAACTAGATTCCTTAATTATTCAATCTAGGGTTTGATATACGTCACACTTTTATTTCTTCAACATTATGCTTATGAGTTTTGTTTTGGTAGTAATGCTTTGATTTCTTAGGCTCCTCTCTGTTGGCTGTTACCATATGTACTCTGCATGAACCTTTTTTTTTGTTCTGTATTCAAAAATACTTGTTAAACCTTTTCTTGATACAATTAAGAATACCCAGAGAGGCACTTGATCATGTGGGTTTTGTTGTCTGGGTTGATGAATAAATGGGTCTTATTGTACCTAACGGCTTTGTTATAGGTCCTGTGGCTGAAAAGGACATGTACCATTGGCAAGCGACTATCATGGGACCCCATGACAGTCCGTTTTCCGGAGGCGTATTTTTGGTCAACATTCATTTCCCTTCGGATTACCCTTTCAAGCCACCAAAGGTGTTGTGTTTTTTCACACTAACTAATCATCTGATGTGGAATGAAAATTTATGATCATCAGGCTTATTAGCGATGTGTATACGATTTTTGCAGGTGTCTTTTAAGACTAAGGTGTACCATCCAAACATCAATAGCAATGGAAGTATTTGCCTTGATATTTTGAAAGAGCAATGGAGCCCTGCTCTTACTATATCCAAGGTTTGAGTTTTGTCTTTCTACTACTATTTTACGACCGTTATGTTCTGTAAAAACTACTATTTCATCAGCAAACTTTGTGCGATAATGCGACTGATTGATGCTGTGGAATTATAGGTTTTGTTGTCGATTTGCTCGCTGCTGACTGACCCGAACCCAAATGATCCTCTTGTGGCGGAGATAGCTCAACTGTACAAGGAAAATAAATCCAAGTACGAGTCAGTGGCGCAAAGCTGGACACAGAAGTACGCAATGGGATGATATGAAAAAGCTGGTGTAGACAAGGAAAAGATGTCTTACTTGGCAATTGAAGAAAATTTTTTTTTTTTGGTTAGTTTTAGCAATGGCTATGATGTGATAATCGAAAGATTTTTAGCTGCTCTTTTTTACTTGTTTTCAGTGCTCTGATCATATTTTAGCTGCTCTTTTTTACTTGTTTTCAGTGCTCTGATCATATTCTTATTTTTGGGGTTTCATTTTAAATTTCCAATCCTCACTTTGGTTGTGCAGGAACCTGCTATTGCAACAAGCTCGTAATTTATTAATTTCAAAATGTTATAAAAAATTCTTTAGAATCGTTTGAAATCTTGATCCTCTGTAGTATTGTTTTGAGCATCGAGTAAACTGGGGCAAGTGTACACGGTTTAAAAAGTGCATTAAGATACTTTTGTCTCGCTAGTTTCTTCGTTTTTGAGTTGCCCACAAAAGGAGAAAAGTACAGAGCAATCTAAAGTGGCTGTTGATGACATGTACGGTTAAATAAATAAAACAATTTTTTTATTTATTATAATTGATCGAATTGATAGCTAATAAAGTGAATATTGAAAAGAAAAAAGAATAAACAAAAAAAGGTTGAATGGACAGATAGGAGGAGGGTAGAGTTGTAAATTTAGTAAGAGGGGAAAATTGGGTCTGACGCGGTCATAATGGGAGGGAGCTTCTTCTCCAATCAACGACTCTTCTAATTTGGTCTCTTCCCTCAAACACGACGGCGTTTCTTTCATTTCTTCCACATCCCTAACAACACCACCAGAAGAACACCAACACAAATTTTAGGTAAATCACACAATTCTCTTCCTTCTTCGCTCTAAAAGTTTCAACTTTTTTTTCCACCTGATCGTAACGATCTCATAGGTCCGTTCTTGCCGTTTCAGATTCTCTTAATCCGATTTTTTTTTCTTCTTTCTTTTCAATTTTTCGTTTGTTCGCTATTGAATCCTTTTCGCTATTCGATGAACTGAATGAATTTTTTTTCCTTTTTGTAATTTCAGGGAATTGCAAAAAATATTCGATTGTCTATTATCAGGCAAATTCGAATTTCCAGAACATTCAAATGGGGAGCTGCGTCTCTAAGGTATTGCCTTTGTTTGGTTTTCTGGTTTTTGTTGTCGGATTGTGTATTTGTTATTTATGCGATGATAAAATGAAACCCTTCTTGTCTTGCTACATAGGGCAAAGGAGACGATGATTCCGTCCATAACGTCGAGTTTTCCGGTGGCAATGTTCATCTGATTACAACAAAAGAGAGTTGGGATGAGAAATTAGCTGAAGCTGGTCGTGATGGCAAAATCGTAATTTTCCCTTTTGATTTTTCTCTTCTCTCATGGAGTGTGTGTGTGTGTTCAATCTCAATCTCATAAACCATATATCTTCTCTTTAAACAGGTGGTTGCAAACTTCAGTGCGACATGGTGCGGTCCATGTAAGATTGTGGCACCATATTTCATCGAACTCTCAGAGAAACACCCTTCTCTGATGTTCCTTCTTGTAGATGTTGATGAACTCAGCGTAAGTATACATACTCTATTATACCCATATATACATAGTTTCCCTTTTCTCTTTTCATATCTTACAAAATCTTATATGCATGTTTGTGCAGGATTTTAGCTCATCATGGGACATAAAGGCAACACCAACCTTCTTCTTCCTAAAGAATGGACAACAAATAGGCAAGCTTGTTGGAGCAAACAAACCGGAGCTACAGAAGAAGGTTACTTCTATCATTGATTCTGTGCCTGAAAGTCCTCAACGGTCTTCTTGACTTTCGCAGCCTTGTCTTCTGAGGTCTTCTTCTTCGCGGTGATCAATGGTTGTAAAATGCAAAAAAGTTTAAAACCGTCACAAAAAAAATTGAGTTAGATCATCTTGTTTTATATAATATGCATCTTTTTCATTCTCATTACTCAATATATTATTGAATCGTCTCAATCTAAATGTGCAAGCAATAAGGCTCTCTCTGTTTTCATTTCTTCTTTAGTATCATACATCTACTAATGAGGAACAACAATCATCTCGAATTTCGTTTGTCCACCATTGATTTCTCCTTTTGTATACTTTCACAAATCTCTCAACCAGAGATCGGGGTGAGAAGCCTCAAGTCACCTTCTGGCTAGGGATAGGGCTTGGACCTTTCCTAAACCAGATATTGCATGACTATAGTGTACAGAGACCAAAAGTAAAACATACATTGGCCATCTTTAAGTTAGTCTTCTTGTTATAGTTAGTTTTCTTGTTATTCTGTAATTAGTCTGAATGGAAGCTAAAATATTACTAATGACTCTTATACAAAACAAAACTGCGAGTGTGTGTCTATCCTCACATAAAGAGAGATTTCTGCAATAGATAAAATGCCAAGAAGAAAGGATTTTAGGTAAGTTTGTCGTTTATTCAAGTTCACAATTTATTATAAATTGTATTTGTAAGTTAAAACTTAAAAGATTCAAAAGAACCACTTTGACTTTGACTTTGACTTGAACTTTACTATCAATGAAACTCGAAAAAATAAAACGAATTGGTTAGTAGATGCAACTAGTCAGGTCCAAAGAAACATCTTTATCATCTTACTTACGTTTTCAAAGTTTTTATTTCGTTTAAGAGGGTCAACGGTCAATATTAGCTGCTCTGGTTCAATAATTAACAATTTGTTCTCAATCAAAACAATTCCTTCACCAAGTTTAATAAGATATCATAATTAAATAGAAATAGGTTTCCTAGTCAAACAACCGTAGAAGCAAGAGTAATATATTATAGTTCATCTACTACAAGTTGGATGTGGTTCGGTGAAGGAATGAGGGAGGAGGCCTGACGTATGTGAAGTTAGAAAAAGGGTTGGCCTTAGGATCAGAATTGGGACTGCTTGCTGGAGAATCCAACACAGACATTTCAGTCCAACACTTGTCAAAATTTGCTATGCATTGTCTTCCCGAAACTGCTGGCTTGAAACTTGGTTGTACTTCTCTAGCCTCCAGCTTCTTCCAGTTTATCACCTTGAACCATTTGTGCTGTTTTATTTCATCTGCTCCGCTCGGTCCACTTCCCAGTCTCCTTTCTGGCTCTTTTTGCAGCAGCTATAAATTCAATACAAAGTCAGAATCAGACTGGTCTAAAACCAATAGTACACAAAAGCTTATGTTCCTCAAAATAATCCCCCATGTTTGTTTACTTACCCCTTTTAGCAAGGCATGAGCTTCATTAGACAGAAACTGTGGAAGCTTGATCTTGTCCTTTACGATTTTCTGCTGTATCTTTCCTTTGCTCCCGAGAAACGGCGGCTGCAGAAGGAAAAAAAAATGGCATCACAACACAGTTTCAATGATCACCTTAGACATATACCAAGACAATAGGCAAAAAGACATTAGACATTTCACCTTTCCAGTGAGCATCTCATACAGAAGGATCCCTACGCTCCACCAGTCGGCAGCCTTATCATGTCCTTTTCCATGAATAATTTCAGGGGCCATATACTCCGTAGTCCCACACATGGAGTTTGATCTTGTGTTTTCTTCAAATTCCTTTGCTAAACCAAAATCAGTTAACATCACATGGCCATCTACGTCCATGAGTATGTTTTCAGGTTTCAGATCTCTATGCATTATGCCTTTCTCATGGAGATGGGAAACTGCAGAGACGATTTCTGCAGTGTACACACGAGCCAAGTCCTCTCTGTGAAAAACATAAAATAAAATTTAGTTAAGCCTTGCAGAATTCTAGTGAAACTCCAAAACTAGTTCAAAAAAAGAATTACAACAAACCTGAAAAGCCCTTGGTGATAGAGCTGGAAGAAAAGATGACCTCCATTTATAAAGTCGAGCACAAGATACAACCTGTACTTGGTCTGCAAGAGAATGTACATATAACGCTCTAAGTTAGGAAGTACTTTAAGTAAAATCAATAGGATGCAAACAGAGAGAAGTTGGATTTTACCTGAAAAGAGTATTTAAGTTGGACAATGAAAGGATGATCGATTTTGGTTAGAATATCGCGCTCGGCTTTCATGTATTCAGCATGATTCTTCTCAACAATCTTGTCTTTTCTCATAACCTTCATCGCGTATATCTCAGAAGTGTCTTTTTTCCTCACCTGGTACACTTTCCCAAATGCACCTTGCCCCACAACCTTCAATACCTCAAAGTCCTCAATGCCTACTACACCTGAGACCTCCCCTAGATCTCCCTCTAGAGCTTTGTCACTGTCGGTGTCATCATTACCAAAGAATTCATCGTTTTCTTTAATAGATTCACCTTCAACACACTCCACCAAGTCAACGGAGTCCTCAGTCTCTCGTAAAGTGAGCTTGTTCAACTTCAAAGAATGGCTAACAACCAAAGACGGGCCCACCAACGAGTGGGATCGACTGTAGACAACAGCAGGCTCGTCGTAAGCAACATCACTGGCCTCTCCAGAGTTAGCTTCAGGCATTGGACCAAACACGTCAGAGAATTCAAGCTCAAGGTTATCATTCAAGACGGATTTTGGAGGGCTGATGGATAAATATAGCTGTTTCTGAAACGGCTTCCCAGTCTGGTTTTTGTTTGCAACAGGACACTGAGAGGAAACCATATCTCTAACCAATCGCCAAAAGAATCACAGAGAAAGCTTCACAAGTTCACCAGATGGATGAGGGTCTCCTAAGAAAAAAGTTAAATGAGGAAGAAACTGGGAATAGGCAAACCAAAACCAAGGAGAAGAAGCTCTTCTTGTTTCCCTATATTAAGGAAACAGTGGATGCTGCACAAGTGTCCCAATGCCATCAACGTGCTGCTCTAAGCTCTGCAGGTTATAAAAGTTCACAAAAGTTCAGAGGCTAAAACATGATGATTATACAAAATCTCAAGTACATGATTGACAAAGTAATGAAGAGACGAATATGGAATTAAAATAAGCAAGTGGAAAGATTCTTTTTGAATTACCAAAGCAATAGTCAACATAATTGAGATTAAGAAAACATGGCACCGACCAAATATCCTTTTTAGATGATAATCCCAACCAAATAAAACCCCAAAGCCTTAGAATTGCCGGATTCAGAATCGGTAAGTAAACCTCTAGCAGCTTCCAGGACACGAGGTCGAAAGAAACCCTCGTGGAAAACGAACTCTAATATCTGTAATTAAGGTCTAGTCTGTACGTTAGGGAAAAGGCTGCCGCAATTTTTAAACAAACCCAGATATATAGAGTAAAACTATGACCTGGACCTAGAAGGTTTCGTGTCGTGGAAACAATATATGAACTTCAATAATTTATATATCCAGAAAGCAAAAGGAATCTAATAAACTCTGCGAGAGAAAAGTCAAAGAGAGAGGATTTACCAGAGAATATGCTTGAGGAAGGAGACGAGAAGGAGACGAGAAGGTAATGCCAAACCCACAAGGAAAAGGATTTCAGAAGGCGCGTGGCTCCATTTTTATTAGGCCTGGGCAAAAAACCCGTACCCGAGTACCCGAACCGGACCCGACCCGAAAAAACCGGTTCGGGACGGGTACGGGTATGTGAGTTTTACACTGTTGGGTTCTATAATTGCTTACCCGTGGGTATCGGGTCGGGTTCGGGTTTTACCCGATACCCGATGGTGTAAACCGAAAACCCGATCCGCTTAAATGCCCTTAGGTTTAGTCTCTAACCCGATTAACCTTTTGACTATTTAGCTTTTTCCCTTTGCTCGATTCTAGAACCCTAAACCCTAAACCCGATACCCGATGGTGTAAAAAATGCATTCCACAGTGTAAACGGGTAGAAAATACCCGAACCCGACCCGAAACAAGCAAGAACCGATATTTTCGGGTTTTTACCGGTTCTCAAATCTGATACCCGAACCGACCCGAACCCGACCATACCCGAACCGAAACCGAACCGATGTTTCGAGTTTACCCTATTGGGTCCTATATTACCATACCCGACATATCCGAACCCGATCGGGTTTTACCCGAACCCGACCCGCGGACCCGAATGCCCAGGCCTAATTTTTATGTCTTTAAAGCATCGTGGATCATGGGGTCCGGACACGTGTTCGTGTTTTATTGGGAAACCGAATTTCTTCTTTGTTTTAGTGGGCCGGTAATCTTTAAGCCCATTACAAGACGTTCAGAGAGACAATAGTCGGGTCCAAAAGCAGAATCGTTATCATCTTTTATATATACGTTTTCAACGTTTTTTTCTCACGCGGGTCAAAGATCATTTGTTAGTTGCTCACTTGTAGTTCTCTATCACAAGTCCTTCACGAAGATATCATAAAATGAACTATAATTTAAGTTTCTTAGGTAACCGTAGTTTTCTTTAATGTTCATAAGTTTCGGAAAAAACCCAAACAAGAACAAAAGAAACAGGAATAACAATATAGCAAATCTACGAAGTCGTTGTGGACTTTTGAAGGAATGAATGCGGAGGCCTGACGTATGTGAAATTGGTAAAAGGGTTGGCCTTAGGATCCGAACTGGGACTGCTCGCCGGAGAATCCAAAACAGACATTTCAGTCCAACACTTGTCAAAATTTGCTATGCATTGCCTTCCGGATACGTCCGGCTTGAAACTTGGCATCACTTCTCTAGCCTCCAGCTTCTTCCAGTTTATTCCTTTGAACCATTTGTGCTGTTTTATCTCCTCTGCTCCGCTCAGTCCACTTCCAAGACGCCTCTCTGGCTCTTTTTGCAGCAGCTATACATTCATTCCAAAGTCATAATCAGAATTGCTCTAAAATTAAATGCTTCAAATTTCTTACTACACAAAGATTTTCATGTTTACTTACCCCTTTCAGCATCGCATGAGCCTCATTAGACAGAAACTGTGGAAGCTTGATCTTGTCCTTCACGATTTTCTGTTGTATCTTTCCTTTGCTCCCAAGAAACGGTGGCTGCAGAAGGACAACATGACATCACACAACACATAACCTAAATATATTACAATGACATGAGGCTTCATGCGAATTACCAATAAAAAGCGGCTTTTACCTTTCCTGTGAGCATCTCATACAGAAGAATCCCTACGCTCCACCAGTCAGCAGCCTTATCATGTCCTTTTCCTCGAACAATTTCAGGTGCCATATACTCTGTAGTTCCGCACATAGAGTTTGATCTTGTGTTTTCTTCAAATTCTTTTGCTAATCCGAAATCTGTTAGCATCACATGGCCATCTGTGTCCATGAGTATGTTTTCGGGTTTCAGATCTCTATGCATTATGCCTTTCTCATGGAGATGGGAAACTGCAGAGACGATTTCTGCAGTGTACACACGAGCCAAGTCCTCCCTGTGAAAGAGTAAAAATTAGAACCAATTAAACCTTGCAGAATTCTGGCGAAACTCCAAAAATAGTTCAAAAAACGAATTACACCAAACCTGAAAAGCCCTTGGTGATAGAGCTGGAAGAAAAGATGGCCTCCGTTTATAAAGTCGAGCACAAGATACAGCCTGTATTTGGTCTGCAAGGGAATGTATAACGCTCTAAGTTAAGAAGTAGTAAAGTAAAATCAATAGGATGCTAACAGAGAGATGTGGTATTACCTGAAAGGAATATTTAAGCTGAACAATGAATGGGTGATCAATTTTAGTAAGAATATCGCGCTCAGCTTTCATGTATTCAGCATGGTTCTTCTCCATAATGTGATCAGCCCCGGCTCAAATGGGTAGGGCGGAAGTGCGACGGCCCGGGGCTTTTTTTTTTTATAAAAAAATTTACATATAAAAAAGGCCCAAATATTTTTTTAAAATATTATTAATATGAGAATTATATTTTAAGAGGCCTAATTATTTATAAGAAAATGTATAAAAAGGCCCAAAATTTTTAAAATAACAATTTTTACTATAAAAACTCCGCAAAATTTTTAAAAATTAAGTAAATTTTCTCTTTGTATATAATAATAGGCCAAAAAAAATTTTTTTTGCCCTAAGGCTCTCAAATATATTGAGCCGGGGCTGAATGTGATCTTTCCTCATAACTTTCATCGCGTATATCTCAGAGGTCTCCTTTTTCCTCACCTGGTAGACTTTCCCAAACGCACCTTTCCCAACAACCTTCATAACCTCGAAATCATCTATGCCTACTACACCTGAGACTTTTACCAGATCTCCCTCTAAAGCTTTCTCATTGTCACTGTCGTCATTACCAGAGAACTCATCATTTTCTTTTAACGATTCACCTTCGAGACATTCCACCAAGTCAATTGAGTCCTCAGTCTCTCTTAAGGTGAGCTTGGTCAGCTTCAAAGAATGACTATCGAGCGAACACGGGCCAACCAAGGAGTGGGATCGACTGTAGACAACAGCAGGCTCGTCGTAAGCAATATCATTGGCCTCTTCAGGGAGTGGACCAAACACATCAGAGAATTCTAGTTCAACATCATCTTTCAAGAAAGAGTTTGAAGGGCTGATGGATAGATATTGCTGTTTCTGGATTTTGTTGGGGACAGGACGGTGAGAGGAAACCATAATTTACACCGAAAAATCGATACAGAATCACTGAGAAAGCTTCAAGAATTCACCAGCCTGGTGAGGGATTCTGTACCGCCAGAAATTAATGAGGAGAAAACTGACTAAAACAAGTGCTGATCTGGAAAATGTTGGCAAAAGGCAATCCAATAACGAGGAGAAGAAGCTCTTGTTGTTTCCCGATTTTAAGGAAACAGTGGATGCTGCAGAAGTGCGCAAATGCCATGAAGGTTTTATAAGCTCTGCAAGTACATAGAAAGTTCACAGATTCAGAGGCTACCACATGAACAAATAAGATCTGAGATACAGGATTGACCAAATCTGATGCAGCATTAATACAAGCAAGTCCAGTGATCCCTTTTCTAATTGAGATTTTAAGAAAACTTCTCAAACCCAGATAAAAAAGGAAAACTTTCACGGCGATGACAAATCCTGAATAAAACCCAAATCCCTACAATTTCCGGATTCAGAATCGGTACAAAGACTACAAATTCCACAGGACGAACGAAACCCTCGAGGAGAAGGAACTTTAATTTCAATAATTCAGATCTACTGGTAAGCCAAAATTTCAAGTAAATCGAGATCTACAGAAAAACTATGATCTAAACTTAAAACGTTTCGTGTCCTAGAAACAATTCATAAATAATTTCGATGGATCCAGAATACAAATATCTAAACTATGCGAGAGAGAATTCAAACAAAGATAGATTGAGGGAGGATCGATTACCAGAGGGGATGGCTGAGGAAAGAGACGAAGATGGAAATGAGGACGAGAGGAGAATTTAAGAGAAGCATCGCAGATCCAGGGATTCAGACACGTGGCCGTATATAATTGGGAGAACGTTGACCAGTTGTTAAATATGCGGCGGAGGTTTTTTTGTCCACTCATTCTTTCTTTATTTTATTGGGCTCTCACTAAGCCCATTATAAGACGTCCTAATTAGGCCTAGGCAAATAAACCAAACAGAATGTATCGAACCGAAATCGAAGCATAAAAAAGCGAACCGAATCGAAAATTTGAAAATAATCGAATGGATAGTAAATTTTAATAACCGTAACCGAATCGATACCGAACCAAAATATTTCGGGTAACCGAAATATACGAAATACAATTATATTTTCAAAATAATTAGTTATTCATAGACCAAATAATAAAAATACTTGAAAAATTGTAAAAATAGTTAAAATACTCGAAAATAACCGACATATATCCAAAAATATCCGAAAATACTCAAAAATAACTGAAATATCCGAAAATATCCTAAGCAAAATAACTGAATGGATGCTAAATTTTAAAACCGAAACAACCGGAACCGAACCGAAATTTTAAAATATCGGAATGGATACTAAATTTTGAAACCGAATGAACCCAACCGATAACCGAGCGGTTAACCGAAAGCCCAGGCCTAGTCCTAATTGTTGTTGTTTTGTTGATCATATCTTTTTTTTTCCGGATTATGTGGATTTCAAATGAGGAAAATTTACAAGCCAAGTTGTGAGAGAGTATTTTGCGTATTCAGAGCTCAAATCTCTTATTCCATCGAATCTCTCTAGCTTGATGAACTCATTCATTCCTATTGCCTTAATAATAAACGAAAAGCATTAGACTATCCGCAGTGGTGTAAGTGTGAAAGAGGGGTGTAAGATTTTTTTTATTATTATAATTTAAAGTGAAAGAGAAAAGAGAGAGAGAAAGAAAGAGAGAGATATAGAGTGGCTTACACCCGAGTGTAAACTTACATCCGGGTGTGAAGAAAGAGACAACTTTTATATTATTTCTGTATTTTAAAATAGATACACCCCACGCAAGGATACATGACTGCGGATGCCCTTAGGATTGACCAAGTTATGTTAGTTCTTGTATTTGTATGAATGCTGTTTTTCATCAAACTTATATAGAGTTATATAAAAAAAATTTTATTTAATGGAAATTATGTCTGTCGGTGTTCAAAAAAACAAGCATATGTCCCCGGATTCAAACATTCTCATATACAAAAAAGATGTATCATTGCCTCGTTGTTAAGGACCCACTTAACTAGGTGTAGTAGACCCGGATCACGCCCGGTTCATGTATGCACCAGTTCTAGTATCCACGAATATCTCTTCACCGACGTTAATAAAGAGTGGTACAGCAACTATTGCACCCGTTTCCATTGTCGCCGGTTTGGATCCACCTACAAAATTCATCACGCCACTAGCTTTACGCTTGTTTAAACCAAAACATGAGAACGGATCTATTAACAAGAGATTGGTGCAACATTATTACCTTGCACAGTATCACCGCGAAGGCCAGGATCAACGTCCACCACTTTTAGCTTAACTGTAATCGGTAGATCGAAATCGATAACCTTGCCAAAATCCAGACAGAAACAAAGTTAGCATCACCGCTTAATTCTGTGAACTATTTACATAGAAACTGAAAAGTGAGGGTACCTTGTCTTTCCAATACAGCAAAATACATTCCATTCCTTCTTTCAACCATTTCGTCTTCTCACCCATATCAGATTCGTTAAGACGTGTTTCTTCATATGTGGTCTACATAAAAAGAAGATTTGATAACGAAGAGAAAACCATATCATTACTACACAAGTTTTAAGCTAATCAAACTCCATGCCCGTATTAGCGAAGAAGAGAAGTAAGGATCCAAATATGACATACCAAATCCATGAAAACAAACTGAGACCCATCTTTGTATGTGAATTGTTTGGTTTCTTTGTATATATTAGCTTCCTCAACCTGTAACATGGAATGATCATAATCAAGATGGTGCAACAAAAAAATCATTCATCAGATTAAAGATATAAGAGAAAAAGAGAGGATTTTTACAGAAATCCCAGCACGAAATGTTCGCTCCACTGTGCTACCATTTACATAGTTCCTGATCTTGGTCCTCACAAATGCCGCACCTTTTCCTGGTTTGACATGAAGAAACTCTGTCCCAAAAAAAAGCGAGAAAAACCTCAATAGACTAGTAATTTTAATTTACATCTCCGAGTAAGTAGAAGCATTAAAGCCAAAACAAAGCTTAAATTGTCATGAACTAGTATCTACCAATTCCAAAAACATCCCAAGTAACATAACATAGCAAATAACCTAAATTCAGAGGAACTGAGGAAGAAAAATACCAAGTACACGCCAAGGAGCACCATCGACTTCGATATTGGTTCCGGCTTTGATGTCATTAGCAGACAAAGAGCAGTGAATCCCTGCAAAAAATGAACGTTGTTGGAATATAAAGTTCAAAATCAATGCCTTCATCAGTGCCTCGAATTTAGAGAAGCGGAGAGAAATTAACTGGGAAATCTGTTGGTTCGGGGAGATATCCGCACGGCAGGGAGCGCCAATCGATTCATCGATGAAAAAGAAGCAGTTGAATAAGGGATGCACAAGGAAGGAGAACATGATGATACAGAGAAAATCGCTCTTCCGGCCATTTTGTTCTTCCGCCGGCGAGAAAATGGAGTCGCTCTGTGTGGATAAGGTCCTAATGGAAAGGACTCGAGGAGGACGGAAGGTTTTACGGCTCAATCGAACCTTTATCACACCAACAACTAAACCGAACCGTAATTCGGTTCAATTTAATTAACCGGTTTACATACGCTTTTATCAGATTCTTCCGGAGTAGAGTACCTACCATGTACCAATTAAATTCCAATCAAAACAAATGCCAATAGAGAAAAAAATGTTTTCTCAAACAGTTAATGTTATTTGTAAGGTGCACATGAACATACAATTGAAATGTTAGATTTGTTCATTGTACAATGTTGAGGTCTTCGGGTAATGATGCTTAGTTTTAGCATTATATGGAATACTGATTCTAACTGAATCGTGTAAAGTATTTGTTCGATCAACTCAAATGGCAGCGACCGCAACAACAAACACTTTGAGGAAGCCATGTGAAAAGATTGGAAGATTGATTCTTCAATAAGGAAGCTTTCTTTTTCGTTTCTCAGTTAAGTACACAACAATACTTCGAATCTCTTTTTAATCTGAAAGAAGAAATGTTGATTATTATGTACAACATCACAAACCCTCTCTATCGACGTCCGGATTCATAAATAACAAAAAGAAAAAAGAAAAAAACAAACTTTTTATATTTGGAATCCAAAAAACAAATCAACGCCAAAAATTAAAAACAAATAGGAAAAGAAGAAAGAAGAGAGATATGAACAAATCAAAACCCTTCGAGGCTAGTTCTCCTACCACTGGCTGAAGACGATCTCCGAACCTCTTCCCTAGCCATTTCCTCCAACGATGAACACGCTCGCGGCGGAAACACTGGCGGAAACACGAGCGCCCGTCCCCTTGTGGGTGACACCGACGGTCGTCGTGGTGGAGGCGACGGTGAAAAACTCGACCTTGGTGGTACTGATGACGGGGTCCAAATAATCGTGTTGAGACTGCTTGATCTTCCCATATGTTTCCTTGCCGCGACTGGCGCGGGTTCTCTTAACGGGAACCTACACGAGTACTTCATGTCCTGTATGATCTTAAGTTGATCCACAATGTTTCTCATGGTTGGACGCTCTGATGGCTCCACCTGCAGACATTTCTGTGCTATATCTGCTATGCTCCTTGCCGCTTTTGCTGGAAACCGACCTTTAAGCTGAGGATCCATTATAAGCGAGAGCCTGCAATCGTCTGCTAGGAAAGCTCTGCTCCATTTCACCAAGTTCCTCTCTTCTTTCGGGTAAGAACCGTCCATGTTTTTCCGCCCCGTCAACATCTCAAGAAGAACTATTCCATAGCTCCACACATTGCTCTTCGGGGTCAAAATCCCTCTCTCTAGCGTCTCGACCGGGAGATTCGCAAGTACTGAACTATTAGATGTCTCTGTCTCAGGCGCATGGCCTGCGCAACCGTATCCTGATAGCTTGGCGCTGAAATCTTTATCGACTTGGATATTCGCCGTCGAAAATTCATTGTACATTGCCTGTTCATTCAAAGGAAGAAAAGGGCTCAATCACTAACTTGTTACCACCCAAATTCACAAATGTTGATGGCTTTTATTTTAGTGTACCTGAAAAGGGCCTTCTTCGTGCAAGAAGGTTAGGCCCTGGGCTGCGCATAGCGCAATCTTCATTCTAGTGTTCCAATCAAGAGGAGGCCCATCTGATCTCCCATGGAGCAACCGGTCCAGGCTCCCGAGAGCAAGCCTCTCGTACACCAACATTCTTGTGTCAGAACCGTCACGGGCATGATAGCCTACCAGCTTACAAAGATTCTGGTGTAGCAGCGACGCCAATGTGTTGACTTCATTAATGAACTCCCTGATACTCTGTGGAATCATAACATAATTACAATATTAAGGAAACAAACACATAGAGGATTAAGGGGTAACACAACAAAAAAATGTTTATATACCTGAGTAGTTACGTGAAGTCGCACAACAGTTGCGTCAACCTTCTTTAAGCCTGAGGTCGAAGCCTCATCACCAAAGGAAGCCATATACATAACAGATGAAAGACCCTCCACGACGCATCGGTCAGACGAAAAGGCGTTACAGGCAGCCATAACTTCATCATATGAAAAGCTCCTAACTGACCCGCTAGGTGGCAAAGGTAAAGGTCCAGATACAGCCGCTGATGAGGATAACCGACCGCTGCTTCCGTTAAACGACTTAAAGCTCCCCCAATTCTTCAACGAAGAACCAGTTCTTGGTGATGGTAACGGAAGCGGTTGAGGGCTAGACTCTTTAGTAGAAGTACGTGGATCTCTTGGTTGTTCATCTTGCTCGTCGTGGTAAACACCAGCAAGCAAATCCCGTTCCGCTGCACCGTGGATGCTTGACGGAGCAGACATGACTCTTGCCCGACTACTCATCTCTCCGGTTCCACCGTTGTTAGATTGAATTGGCTTCACACGAGTTCTGAAACTCGGAGGAGCTGATTGTAAATTACGACTTGGAATCTTTGGTGGCTCAGGTAAAGCAGTTGGCTTGCTTTCTTCAAGATCCAACCGTTTCATAGAAACAGAGCCACGTTTCTTCTTGCTTTTCAAAGGGAAACACCCCAAAACCATCGTTTCAATCTTCTAAAATCTGTTTTGATTACCACTTTGATTCTAACGGATGCATATAACTCTGAGAACTCACAATTTCATCTGAAAATGATTCAAACAAACAAAACTCTTAGCAACAAGAAATAAACTATACATACACAAGAAAAAAGGTGAGTTCTAGAAAACCCAGATCCGTTTTATTGCATGTCTTAGATCAATGGCCATAGAAATTGTTCATTGAAACAATGAAGTAATTGAACTCAATTTTCAATAGAAGTGGATAAAATCTCGTTTTGACAGATCTCGTGGTTCAAAAAAAAAGAAGTTTTGAAGCAAGTAAAGGACAGTTTACATAAACCCTAATTCTATAACAGTGAAACAGCAAAGAACTGTAAAAGTTATAAACGCTTTCGATTTGTTTAATGACGACATCCATTAGATTAAATTCGGTAAAGACAAGAGACAACGACAATAATAAATCCAGGAAAACATCGAAGATTTTTTTTTTTTTTTTTTAATCGCATTATCATTAGATAGATATTTTCAATTTCAAAAAATCAAATTTCACTATTTGAACTGAGCTAATCGGTGAAATCAGAGTTGTCATTTAATCAAAATCTATTCCTGAGAAAATTAATTATCCGAACGCAAAAAAAGGGTAAAAAAAACAAAAACACGAATTCGATCTAGAAAAATCAAAACAGACATAAGAGAGAAGTTAGTTCAAACCTGGAAGAGAGACAAGACAATTCTAAGGAGACCAAACTGAAACTGCGGCTAGAGAGAGAGAAAGAGAGTTGCGAAAATGAAATCGGAAATTTCTGGGAAGAAGAAGAAGAAGGAGGAAACTCATAAGGGGTCTGTCTGTTTAGGAAAGTGAGAGATTTTAGAGAGAAGGGTGGTGGGACCCAAAAGAGGCAGTGGTCAAAGTTCAAACCAAAACAGATATCCAAAGATTTATTATTATTACTTAAAACTCTTTCTCTCTCTCAATCTTAATTCAATTCTTTCAGCTAACTTAGTTTGGAATTTTCTTCACTTTGCTTTTTATTCTTCTTTCGCCCTCCACTTTTTGTTTTCTTCTCTCTTATAACCTCGTCACAAATATACTACTAGTATTATACAAGTCATAAAATAAAGGGACGGCTCAAGAGAAAAAAAAACTCAATATGTATTGTGTAACATGTTCCAATACCATTTTATTAGTATTAGATTTTGTAAATAAAAAAGTAGTAGTCTTTCAGATAAATTTATCACAAGTACCATGCAAAAATGCATAAATGAGCACTTCTTTCTAGATACATTGTATCAATTACCATTTTTAACTTTAAACTAAATATTATTCTCTCTGTTTCATTTTATAGAATGTTTTAGAGTTTTTCCTTGTTTCAAAATATAGGATATTTACAATTTTCTATACAAATTTTAAATGATTTTTAAATGTATTTGATATTTTATCACTATTTATATTCTGCAATCTTTTATATCATTAGTTGAATATTATTAAATTAAATATTAAATGATAGTTTTTAAAAACAAAAATTAATTTTTTAAAATATGTAATTTTAGTCAAAATATCATATATTTTAAAATAGAGAGTAATTTATTATTTAGCGATCATATTATCGTTTAGCGATTTGTATTAGTGTTATCATCGATCGATAATTATATTATTATAGAAATTTAAAATTTTAGATTCTATTTTAAATCCACATATATTATAACTAAAATTAAAATAACAACATGGATCATTTAATAATTATGAAAATGTATAAAACTTCACATGAAATTTTCAATTTAAAACTAAAAAAAAAAACCGATAAGGTAGGCAAGATTGTAAAATTCAGGAGAAAGCCTAGATTTCCAGTAAAGAGGGCCTCGAGAAAAGCGACATCTCAGTCAAACTTGGAAAACTAGTTTTGTCCTTTTTAAAATTATTATTTGTTTTGTTGTTCAATAAAAATAGGCCGTATCTATCTACTAATCCTAATCTAATTGGGTTTTTGTTTTTCGGGTCAAAATGACTAATTAGATAGGTTGTTGACTCGATATCTTAGCTGTTCATTTAGATCCAAGTGCCTCCTTATCAACGGTTTATATCCGGTCACGTCTTAGCTAACGTGGGACCCGCTGACATCGTTCTTTGGAAGATTTTTAAAATAGTAAGTTTTAAAAAATTAGAGAAAAAGGTTAAGCACACGCGCCATGCACGCGTGCGACTAAACTCTAACTTCAGACAACAGAGGACACGTGGGGTCCCCTCTCGAACCACTCTCCATTCTTTTTCACTTCTTTTTTTTTGGTGAGCTCCATTCTTTTTCACTTCTCTTCTCTACTTCCCGAATTTACACTATCACCATCGTTTTTTTTTTTTTTTTCATTTTTCTAAGTAGTAGTATTTGATGATAAAATGAAAATTTTCACAAATTGTTAGTATAATGAAATATAGATTTATAGAACTAATCACGTATTCACAAATAATGCTACAGAGAAACTTTAGGTTAATATCTATCTGAGTTTTAGTTTTTACTTGACTTAACTCAATTCAAACTCATAGTTCTTTCCTAAAAGTGTATTTTTATTCGTTCTTCTTCTTTTTTTCCTATTTTGGCGGAGAATCCTCTCAACCTTTGCCACTTTTTCTCGGCATTATTGGACTCTGCTTTGGGCTTGACCAGCCAAAGTTACATCATCATTTTTTATGTAATTAGACTTTTCAATGAAATATTACAAGTTGTGGATCCATTCGTTTGCTTCTGTAATAATTAGTGAAATACTATATCTAAGCTATCGGCTTTCCAAATCATATCATATGCAACTAATATGACAATTAATTAGCGATTTACCTATTACCATCTGAAAGTTACTTATCATTTAAATGGGATAGTTTCTCTATATTATAGCTATAGGCAATTGCATTACAAAAGATTTGAAATAAAAATCTATAAAGATTGAATAACTTAAAATAATTTTGAACACTAGTATGCACGTTTTCTCTGCTGTTTTTGTTGATTACGCAATTTAATAATGTTCTGGTATAGGCTGTATACTTTTCTCCTTATGTGTAGACTTTTTGAGGTTTGATTGGAATATATAATTATGGTTTGAACAGGGTCGGCTTACTTTGGATGATCTATTGAACAAGCCACAGAAAGAAAAATGATTTTCACGTTTGACTAATTATTATATTACTGGTGAGAAATCATGAATATTCACTATTTCTACAAATTTGGTTTTAAAAATATTATCGTACTCTATAAGGATTTCATGCTGTGATATTTGAAAAAAATTGTGAACTTTGAAAATAATTGTTGTAAAGGTTTGTTCTATCTTTACTAAGTTATCTCATATATACATATGCATAAGAAGACAAATTATGGTTTATGAAAACAAACTAAAAATAAGAATTTTCTGTCAAATAAATCCTTCATTTTATATATTAAAGAACCTTTGAAAAAGAAAAAAATCATTCATCTGAAATTATTTGGTTGGATTTGATGAAAAGAAAAGACTTCAAACAAAAATTATAAAAATGAGCCGAACTTATTAGGCCCATAATGATTAAAAGTCCTAAACTCCGACCCATTTTTTTCCGCCAGTTCAGCTATCGGGTTCTCTATTTTCATCAATCCCTAATTTTTATTTTTGTTGAAGGATAAAATTACTCTTTATTTCAAGAACATGACGTTCTCTTGACGTAAAAGCAAAGTTATGTCTGAGGTTGAAAATGTAGATTGTGTGTTTGTTAGGTTAGTGCCGTAAGAAACTCTAAGAATGAAGCTACAAATGCAAAATCTGCATGTCAAATAGTATCTCTCTTTTAGTGACAAACTCATATGCATAAACAATTAACTATATTGAAAAGATTTCAGTTGTTAACCAAATTTATCTTATCTGTTTTAAATTTCTTTCATTTTTTTCAGTTCGTTTGGAATATTTCATTCCATTTTCAGATATACAAAACAAACTATCAATATAGCCATATAGGTAATTTGGTTTTAAATACTAAAGTAAAAAGTGATATATAAGTCTTGCTAATTAGCAAATTGAACAGATAAACATATCATATTGCACAGAAGTTTTATTTAATCGAATTAACCAATTTAGAAGTTTTCTTTTATCATCATACCACCACCTTATTTTGCTTTCTTTTTTAGCTTTTGTGAAAATCGGACTCGCCCGGTTTTTCTGATATTAGGTTTTGGGGTTTTCGATATATATTGGAATTGCTATACATACTTAACATAAACATATAATATCAGGCTGTATAGGTTTACTTCATGTTCTGATTCATTATTCATATATAGTTGCATTAATGGAATTGCTAGTTCAATTCGTAGTTTGCAGTGGAATTCTTGGTTTGTAATGAAACATAAACGAATATATATATATTTTCACAGTTGATCGAGATTTTGAGTTCGAACTAACACACCATTTTGATAATTGTATATGTGTGTAGGGTGGAAGCATGGAGAATGTTTCAGAGATAAGTGCCTGCGCTGATATTATATTAGAACATTCGAAATGACAATACATCACTGATCAACGTTGCAACTAGCTAGCAAACCAATTAATGCCCTCGTTTATTATTAGGTTATTAAAGTTCTTGTAGTAGTAGTAGCTTCCTTTAAGATTTTCTGCTTGTCTCACTTAATACTGTAAAAAAGAGAAAAAAGAAAGAATTAGTGGTTTAGATTTTTGCTACAAGATCAGTATTTAATCACATAGAGAGAGAGTGAGATGTGTTCTTTACCTTTCGCAGTTGGTGGAAGGGCTGAACTTGTAAGGGAGGTTAATACCACATTTAGAAGGCAAAGACAAAGCATTGTCGATGGTGCCAGGAGAGAGAGTAAGTCCTCCAATAGCAGATTTGATGCAACGACAGACGCCCTGACGGTCCGCAGAAGTTTGAGCCTGACTGTTGAGTGTTGTGAGACCGTTGCAGCAGAGGCTTGGGACCGGTCCGCCCTGAGTCACGTACGAGAGGCAAGGGTAGAGATCCGCAATCACCGTGTTGCAAGACACGGCTGCTTCACCAAAGTGCAAAGCAAGAACCAGGCACACGGCTAGTAAGAGAGATCTCATGTTACTTTCTGTTTTTTTTTTGTTGGTGTGTTTGTTGTTGTGGTTAGGGTTAGAGAATTGAGAGGTTATTTATAGATGGAAAGAGTTTGAGATTGGTAGTTGAGGAAGAGTGATTGCTAGGACGCGAGTGTTAGTGTTAGTTGTGGATGAATTTAATGTTTACCCTTCAGCCAATTAAGATCCAACCCTCCCGGTTCAACTGCATTGTATCTAACACAAATTTTCTTAAATAAATATTACCATACAAGTATACATTGTTTCGTTTTTAACTATCCGAATTCCTATCTTAATCAATTAAAAAGGCCTACTAAATTAAATACTGATACCAACTACTATGAGAATTGAAAAGATTTATCAAAAAATACTATAATGAGAAGTTAAATAGCTACTACAGTATAATTATGAAAATGAAGGCGGATTGAATATAAAAAATATCATTACGTCACCAATCCATCCCCCAAAAATTAGCACGAATATGTGATTCTAATAGTTTTAACAAAAAAAAAAATTGTCGTTAATATTAGAATTTAATTCGATCAACATCGAAATATTTGGAGGTACTCGAATATTTAATATATAGTATGTGATTTCTTACTGGTTTGAAATGATGTTTAATACGTATTATGTTATGTTCAAAAAATAAAATACATATATTTATTGCATGTTTACGAAGTTCAAAGATGTAGAAGTGCTTTTGACAAATAAAAATGATTTCAGTTCTCATCTACATATTTTGGATACGGTGCAAGTGTGTAACTCCATATTAACGACGACAAATCGAAAATAACGACAATTCTTAGGCGATGGATATTGAGTTGAATTGCAGCTCCCAGTGCATTCAAACTCTAGATAAAGAAATTAGTTAAGTGTGTGGTTGGTACGTATTGTTGTTAGAAGTAGTTAAGATAGCACAAATGTGAAGGAGCATCTTCGAGTACTATGAGCTGTGGTGTGAAATTGATCGTTAAGAAAATAGTTTTGGTTGGTTTGCATCAAGTAATTTGAGCCGTGGTCCCAATTTTGTTCGGTTACTTAAGCCCATCCTTAACCAAAAACCTGATTCATAAGAAACATTTATTCGGTTTGATTCCAACTTTTACTGCTTTAATCAAAAAGTAAGTCGAACAAAATTTGAATCAATGTCACTCTACATAGATGGTCTTTCAATATTTATAGTTAAGCCGGTTTGGCATGGGCAGATTACTATTTTAACTAACAAGGCTCTGCTATACTACTATTACATTGAAGAAAAATAATCAAAGTCACTTGCCAAGTTCACATTAAAGCACAAAGCAATATTCATCTCCTTTGGCAGCCAGAGACAATAAGGAACTAGAAAGAAATCAAAGAGGAACTTTCCCACCAAAATACATATGTAGGTCACTGAAAAAAAGTTCTGAAACTTGACCTTCACAAGCCATCATCTTCCTTCTAAAAAATGTCACACCAAATCTCCTAATGAAAAGTTGCCTAATTTTGACAATTTTGAAATAGACATTTGTTTACGTTTCTCAACAATAAAAGTTCCCATCTTAATCAATTCCAAAGTCCTGACAAAGTTAAACGTCGGTACCAATTATAAATGAGAATTTATGTGTTATCAATCATTTGATTGAATTTCTGATCATTTAAATAATTCATCTAATAAATCCTCAGAAGTGGTATACGTTCGTGAGACTGTTGATCAGAACTTCAATATCATATCACATCCCAAATATCATTTTTTTCAAAGGTGTTCTGGTAATATCATTTTTCTTATCACTAGTCATATCGGGTTGTTTCTGCTATACCCTTACTTATCTACCATTTGGTATCAATATGTATGCAACTAATTAGCTTATTATTAAACTTCATAAACAAATATATATATATATATATATATATATACGCCCATTTATAGAACTCTTGACATGAATCAATCCCATTCTTGATTGTTCTCCTCAAACAAAAACTGGCCATACAAGGAAAAGGGATCTCTTGTGACAAAGCAATCTAGCCAGGAAAGGTTTGACTAGGAAATGGCTACACTATAATACAAATGGTTTCCCGCATATAGCTCCAATTACGCTAGCCAGTGTTCTCAGGGAGGTATGGTAACTTTTAAGGTAAAATTCCAAGTATAGTGATAGAAGAAAACCTTCAAACAAGTTGAGCTAGTTGAATGCAGGAGGAGAAACAACTTAACACCTGGCGCCAAAAAAAACAGAAATTCAAGAGAAGGTTCATCGCCCGATTCTGGCCACCCGGTTTCTCAACTTCCTATTATGCTTCTCCTGGAAGAACCAAGGAAGATGTTATATTAGTACAATTTGGTGGCACATTTTGCTAGATAAAAATCAATAACAGGAACAACAAAACCACTTGAATTCTTGGCTTTTAGACAACTTTTTGTCTCCAAAACATCGAATTTTGAAGGTGGTTTTGTACCTGTTCAAATACCCTAGCTGAGCTCTTCTCAACATCAGAAGCCAAGCTTTCGATCTTCGCCAACATTCTCTCATACATTTCTTCAATCCCGCCAGTGTAATTCGCAGCTTCAGCTCCAACCAAACGTTTCAAGTCTCCAACTTGTAACCCCTCTGCTAGCGCATCAATCTCCTTCTGATCTTTTGCTGATTGTTTCTTGGCACTTAAGGAACTCTCATCGCAATCCACGCTCATGGCTGAGCTACTCAACTCGCAAATCAACGGTGGAAATCCCGATTTTGGACTAAACGAACCGTAATGGCCTCGAAACGCTGGTCCAATGTTGACTATAGCAACGGATCTCGGTTCGAGCCGTTGTTTCGAGGGTCGGAACTGGTACGCACGGTACTCGTGCGTGTGGATGCACTGATTCGTCGACGGCGTAGTAAGAAGAAAGAACACGGAGGAAGCCATGTTCGTCGAATTAGGGTTTTGCGAATCCTCGATCGGTAAGTGAAATTGAGACGAGAGAGACGACGCGACGGCTAACTCTCTCATTGATGGACGGTTAACGGTTTTCCTGCGGGCGGAGAACCAGCCAATTAGGCGGTCCGGTGAGTCGATTCGGAGGGAATCGATTCGACGCGAGTCAACTCGGCCAAGCGGATCATAGAAGGAGACAGTCTTACCAGAGCAGATAAAGCTTGTAACGGTGGCGACAATTTGATCAGATGAGGAACTGGAGGCGAAATCCGCCGGAGAATCGTCGGAAAGATTGGAAGAGACGATGCGGTGGATTTGGCCGAAGATCAAGCCATCGACGTCACTGGGAGAAGAGGAAGCTCGTTGAATCAGTGACGCCAATGTTGGACCCGAAATCTCGATTTTCTCCAGAGAGAGGTCGTCCATGGCGACGAAGAAGAACACAAAAAGGGAAACGATGTGACGTCACTGAAATCTCTTCTTGTAAATAAAAATTGTATCAGGACATTAAAACGACGTGGCGTTTCGTGTTTCAACGAGTGGTTAGCGTGTCGTTTTTTATGAAAGAAAACGGGCATAAATATTCACACTCGAAGCCCGTTGTTATTCACCTAAAGGCTAAAGCCCAATCAAACAGAAAAAACATTATAAAGAGGAAATATGAAAGGTCAATTAGTTCCTTAATCTTCTGCTTTGATGTAGCAACTGTGTTTACAAGTGTCGCCATGTTGTTTCTTAGTTGCACATTAAGAAGAGAACAAATATCTTTTTTACATATTACAAGGAAGAAAACAACACTTCTTAGTTCAGAGTTTTGAAGGACAGAGGTAAAACCAAGAAGATGGTGCATCCTTTGGTTGATAGAGCCACAAGCGATATGCTCATTGGTCCTGATTGGGCCATGAACCTCGAGATATGTGACATGCTTAATCATGAGCCTGGGTAAGACCTTTTTTTACTATAATGTTTTTTCAATGACTGAAAAATCCTCGATCCCATGCTCTATGTCTGATCAATCTGAATCAAAACTCTAAAGGAAAATGGTATTAGTTGAATTAGTGATCTCTTAAAGAGAATCAATGGTACTTTTATTGATCTCGGTTATACTACATTTGTGTTGATCATTGAAGTTATGGATGGTTCACATTTGGTTTTGATGTTTTTTTTTTTGGTTCTATACCTGTTTTTTTCATGATATGTGAGTGTGTTTGTAGGCAAACGAGAGAGGTAGTGAGTGGCATAAAGAAGAGGCTTACCAGTAGGACTTCCAAGGTCCAGCTTTTGGCTCTTACAGTAAGTGTTAGATATTTTACTTTTATGTTCTTCTTTTTTAAGTTTATTTATGCAAAGATTAACATATTTCTGGGATTGTTACTGTTGTAGTTACTAGAGACAATAATAAACAATTGTGGGGAACTTATTCATATGCAAGTTGCAGAGAAGGATATACTTCATAAGATGGTGAAGATGGCCAAAAGGAAGGTCCGGCTCTGATTCTTTTTAACTATTGTTTTATCTATATCATTTTTGTGTGACACCTAACTTGTCATGCTGTTTGTTATACTTATAGCCTAACATCCAAGTGAAGGAGAAGATATTGATACTTATAGATACTTGGCAAGAGAGCTTTTCAGGTCCACAAGGAAGGCATCCACAATATTACGCAGCATACCAAGAATTGTTGGTATGTTTCATTTTTTCTGTAACATGTCCATGTAAATCGAATCGATCGAGATATGGTTTGAAATTTTAGGATTTCATTTATTTTCTTTATCCATTTCAGCGTGCAGGAATTGCATTCCCTCAAAGACCTCAAACCACACCCAGTTCAGGACAAACTGGTCCTTCGACAACGTATCCTCAGAATTCTCGTAACACTA